CCCATTAATCGATACTTGGACTCTTCCTCCTTTTTCATCCACCAATTTGACATCACCCAGAGCAGCGCCAATGGAACGGAAAACGGGGTCTTTTTTGTAGTGAATTGGGAGTCTCGAGACTTTGATCCGGAAAAGCAGAGTGTTGGGGAAGTCGACATCCACAGTTGGTATCCATCGTTCCAGAGAAAAGCTCCATCGGTTAAAATGGCAGGGTCTCTGGTGTAGGACTTTAATCAGATCTTCTTCTGAGTCGAAGTCAAACTGAAATTTTCCATTCTCCAAATTAACACCTTTAACTCTTCCTTCTACGTTCCAGATTCTAGCACTCGGCATCAGTTTGAGGAGAGCATCAATACTCCTGCCTTCTGAATGAAACATGCGTCCTACTAAGGTACGTTTGTACTGTTCCAGCAGATCGGAATAGTCAAAATCCGGTATCTCAATGATATCATCGTCTTTTTTTTTAAGCCGGCGTCTGGCCTTAGAATTCCTATTCCTTCTCGGTGCATCAGCTAGTATATTCATCAATAGTCTTGTAATTGGTTACACACCACCACCGAAAAAACACCATATATAGGGGAACAGAAAAATAAGTATAGCCGGTCACTGTCGCGTAGGTCTGGCCGTCGGAACTTGGATCTGCAACACTGATTAAATCCAGCCACAAAATTCCACTAACAAAGGGTACGTAGCACACACGCTAGAAGTCAAAACCGTGACAGATGTTCTTCCGATCTAGCCATTTCCAAGGGTAGAGATGAGAGGGGAGGAGAGGGGGGGGGGGGGGGGGGGCGGGGTTGTAACTTACCTTGTGAGGGGGCACTCCTTATGTCAAAAGGTTTAACGGAAGGGATGATCTGGTCTCGTCTGAAAGTCTATGGGATTGAGATCTGTAAGTCGCCACAGAAATCGTCGGGTGCCCTAGCCGCTCTCATCTCTATATATATTGATTTGGTTTATATTTTATCTATGAGTCTCTCAAAATATTGAGAGACTCACTTCAAAATCTTTTAAATGAGAGACTTTAGGAAGAGTCTCTCAACATTTTGAGAGACTCATGATTAAAATATAAATTAAATCAATATGTATATATTGATCTATATTTAATTAATATATAGAGTCTCTCATGAGAGACTACCAATATAGAATGTCTTAGAAAGTATTTTAAAAGAAAAAATATTAATTTTTAAATTATAAAAAATCTAAACCAATCAGAATGTATCACACATTAAAGAAGTTTCTTAAAAGTTTAGAATTATTTCTTAAATAAGAAAATTAAGAGCTGATCCTTCTTTCTCTTTCATACTTTTATTAGTTTATTAATTTATTTTGTTAAGATACTATACTTAGAAACTTGCATTGCACATGTTCTAAGTTTTTTTTTCATATTTTTTTTTTTCTAAATATTTTTAATGTTTAGAAATAGAATGAAAATCTTCCGTTGGAGATGGTCTTAGAGTATGAGTATTGCACATTTTGTGAGGAGTTCTAGAAGAAGAAGAAAAAAAGAATAAAAAAATGACATGGCGAGACTGTAGAAGAGAGTCGCCTTTCTGGAAAGAATCTGTAGAAGCGTTTCTTCAGTGACATGACGAAACACAATTGGTTAACTCTTTTTAAAATCAATTTTTTTAATAATAAATTTTTTTAAAGAATCTCTCCTCTCAGCTCTGCAATACTCATGCTCTTATACTATAAAGAATCGCCATGGTTCCAAACCTAGATCCATAACACAGGAATAGAAGAAAAAAATCGAACCGAAGGTTCGTATTAGATTTTATACTTCGAAAAGCAAAGAATCCAAAAAAAAAAGAAAACTCGAAAAATATGAAATGATATTGGACTTGGACGTCCCTAATAGGTGGAATGGCTCAACAGACATGGACCTATCCAATCATCATTGTGTAGTCATTCACAAATGGGTCGACCACCGTATATGTTAGATGATACATGTGATGGATGATATGATCGTTTCGTTTTAATTCTTCTAACTATTGAATCTCATTACTATGGAGTTATTTAAATGTTTAAACCGTTAAAACTGACATTTCAGCATTTAAACCTCAACGCTCAATTAAATCAGTGTAATAATACAACCGTTTATATCATTTCAACCTCGACGCTTCAACCGATTCTGGCATTACAAATCTTTCGACTAACCCAACCAACCTAATTCACACATATTTTGTTAAGTTTTGTATTTTTTTTTTGCCTTTTCCACATCATTTGGTAAGTTTCTAAACTCATCTCATCTATGCTTTGAGAAGTGTCTAGTCAATAAAAGGCAAAGCAACAACTTTATTTTTGTGGGCTTTGTTGTCTCCTTTCTTCTATCTTTTAAACAATTTTACATTTTTTTTAATTAACAAGTAATTTAGTTGTGTTTTGTAAGTACATATATAATCTTGATTCTTGAGTCACCATCTTTGGTGGATGAATTCGAGATTCTACACTCGGTAGTTATCGTTGTCAGTCGAATTTAAAATAGTATAGTTTTTCTCTAAATCGTTCTACTAAAACTAACTAATAAAAGTTATCTTTACGTATCATTAGTAGTAGTTATCGTATGGACCAAAAAAGTCATTATTGTTAATTTTGGGGGTTTGTGAAAAAGAGAGGAATGCTTGTTACCTACTCTTATTAACTTCTCTGATTCTCTCTCTCTCTCTCTCTCTCTCTCTTCTGTACAAACAGTCTCTCTAAGCAAATTGGGACAGAGAAACTTAAAGTCTTCTTAGGTTTCTTTGTTTGTTTGTTCTGTTCTGTTCTTGTTCTTTGGAAAATGCAGAAGCACAAATGCAAGCTCTGTTCCAAGAGTTTCTGCAATGGCAGAGCACTTGGAGGCCACATGAAGTCTCACTTGGTCTCATCACAGGCGCTGACTCGGAAGAAACTCGGTGACTCGGTCTATTCCTCTTCGTCTTCCTCAGACGCTAAATCACTGGCCTACGGGTTGCGAGAGAACCCGAGGAAGAGCTTCCGGGTTTTCAATCCGGATCCTGAGTCATCCACCGTCTACGACAGCGAGACTGAGACCGAACCGGAGTCCGTAGACCCTGTTCGGAAGCGGGGCAGAGCAGAGGTTTCGAAGAAGAAGGAGAAGAAGAAAAGGAGCAAGAGAGTGTCCGAGTCGGGGAAGAAGCAGAAAACGATTCATCTTAACCCAAACGAGTCACCAGAACCGGCGAGTTCTGTCTCCGACGGTTCTCCGGAACAAGATTTAGCCATGTGTTTGATGATGCTCTCGAGAGATTCAAGGGAGCTTGAAGTTGAAGTGAAAAAACCGGGTTTTGAAGCTGAAGTAGTAGAAGAGATGAAGCCGGAGAAAAGACATTTCCCGGAGCTCCGTCGCTGTGTGATAGATCTGAATCTTCCTCCGCCGCAAGAAGGCGACGTTGTCACCGTCGTTTCGGCCATATAAAACAGTTGAGGTTTTCAGAGATTTAGATGACATCAATATCAAAGCATCTTGTTGATTTGGTTTTCTTCAAGATCATTATTCTTTAATTAGAAAACCCTTCATTTGTTTTGGAATCTTCGGAATGGTATTATCAATCAAACAATGTACTTTTGATGTAAGACAAGAAAAAGAAAAACAAGAGACGAGCTCTGTTTCTTGATTTGTTCTTCAGTTTAAAGGGTCATTTGATGATAATCTATTGTTGGATCCTTGTTATGTCATTTTGATATTTGGAATTCTTGAGATGATTCTTTTGCATGAACTTTGGATCTTGGATCTTTGATTTTATTAATGTGTTTAATAGGAACTATTTAATTTCAACTGCATTTTTGTATGACACAAGTTTGTGCTAGCCATTTATAAATAATGTAAACATTATTCTTGTTGACATATTAAAAATTGGAACAACTAGTACAACACTGTGGTAAATACTCAAAACATCCAAAAGATCAGATCAGGGATATTCAAATATCTCGATAAGTGAGATATCTAGACCCAAAAACACTGAGATATTTCACTCAAAATACAATGAGTAATAGATGATATCTCATTTCTTAATCATATATTATAATATACTTTAAATTTCTGAAATTCCAGTCTACATTCACCTAATTCATTACTACTTTTTATTTATTTTTTAAACAACAAAAGGATAATTACTTATTCTATCTTTGGTTCTTTATTTCGAACTTTCTTTGTGGTGTAGTTTGTGTCGCCAGACGCCAGCTGCATCTGTAACTCTGTCTAGTGGTCTTTTTTTTATACCAAAACAGAACCATTTATGTTTCTTTCTTGACAAAAAGAAAAAAACACAACGCCTTTTTTTATGGGCATCATTTAGTAACTTCGTTATTTATTTCAGAAACATCTTTAAAATCACGTTTCTGCATGTTTTCCCTTACCTGACTTTCAAAGTTAAATAAATAATTATCCTCACTGACGCATCGACACCATAATAATAAAATTAAAGACGATGAGTTTTGGTTATATATGATTTATATTGTTCACTGAAGTAAAATTTTAAAGAAAAGGCAGAGGGAAAATGTTTCATTATGTTGTCTAAACAATTGGGGAAAAAATTAAAACACATAAAACATGAGATGTGGAGGGTACTTTGGTTAATGGTTCGTTTCGTTGGTCATATCATATAAATGTGGGGCATGTGGCATACCTTTTCCGCTTTAAGCTTCCATGGCAAATATATGGGACCAGTGGACCGATCATACAAAATATGAACTCAATTTTTTTTTTCTTATTTCATTATTTTCCTTTTAGAGCTACTAACTAAATTAGAAGTATAACTTTGATCATATTCACACAAAATAATAATTTGAAATTAAAATCTTTTAGATGTATGAGAAAAATTATCATACAAAACTCATCAGGACCACACTGGACGCCAGGACATGTGCATCGTGTGTCTGGTGAATCTTTGGGCTTTTTATAGGTCTCATTTGAAAATCCTCCTCACTGAATTTAGGCCACTAAATTAAATTAATTCTGGCCCATTTTGTTGTGCTTACAACAAACCAGTTCAGTATTAACGTTGATTAATATAGTTCCATTTATGCATTATTTCTAAAATTTCAGTGAAGAAAAAGCTACAAAATATGAGATTGTCTTTGATAGGGCATAAAATTAAAAAAGACAGAATATTTGTTATTTCCTCTCGAGCCTTTATGTACAGAAGAAATCCATCAGATGATCAAAACCGCACCGTCCTAACTCTTAATCAATACAATTTGCTGAGACCAGAATCAACTCCGGATTCACCGGACCGCGGAAACAAGACCTCTTTGTCAATCAAAACCTGAAGATGCGATGTGATCTTCACAAAGGAGACCCAAACAAACGGTGCACAGCAAAAGGCATACCCGAAAACCGACAATGCTCTGACAACACCATCGGGATAAGAGGGAAAAGCCATCACAAGGAGCGTCCCGAAAATGCCAAGCCACGGTGTTATGACGGGGAGCGTTGGAAGCAAGAAGGCGTTGATTGGTACGGAGGAGAGAGCAAAGGAACCGGTCAAGTAGAGCGACCAACCGACGACCGGGTGGATCGTCTGTGGGATGATGAAGAATGGTATAATGTAGGCTGAGAGGATCAAGAAGAGTGCAACCATCTTGAAAGCGGTTTGGATCATACTTAGATTCTTATCAGAACGTCGGTAACATAGCTTGGTCATGCTGGCTCGCGCTAGATGCGTGACTTGTATGATTCCTAGGTAGAACACTGCTTGGATTATAACCCAAGGCATCTCCGCAGAGTAACTGAAATGACAGAGACGGATTAGACCTAGCCCCCAAAAATATATATAACTTTCTTTTTTTTGTAACAAAATGATAAAAAACCGAAATCCAAAGTAATTCCCGGAGTTTCAAACCACTATGTATATTTTACAAAGGAGAGTGTATCCAGTTTTCACATATCGATATAGAGGTAATTATGAGAATTAGTTTGGGTTTTGGTCTGAAATTAAACGTACCCTATGGTGTAGCGGCGTTGGTGGTGCCATGAGAGGCCTAAAGGAAGAACAGGCCATGACCACCAGTACCATGGCTTTAACCATACTGCTCCAGGGAACGTGATCACACTGTTTGGTCCACACGGAACGTTCCATCTGAGTTTAAGGTCTAATAAAATATACAAAAAATTAGCAAAAATGTTGTCACGTTTTTGGGATTATTGAAATGGAGAGAGCACTAGTAGTTACTTACAGTAATAAGAGGCGTCCATTTGATATCCCAAAGGAAGCCTAAAGTGTCCGGTAAGCGCGGTGGTGCGGTTATCGGGAGGAATATAGAGAGGCTGGTTGAGTAAATCGGAGAAGTAACTCACAAGAAAGCCTTGATCAGCTCCATCAGGATTATCTCTCTTTACTTCAAGCTCATGAATCATGTCTCTAAAGACCTCCATTGATGGCTGCAACACAAAGAGACCAGTGTGGAAGATGCAAGGGTTGATAAAGACGGCACAGAATGAGCCGCATTGGAAGAGCTCGTCGGTGTTCTTGAGGAAGAGATTGTCGGCGTCGAGCATTACGACACGGTCATAGTCTGACAGAGACCAAGCGTATAGCTTGTTCAGACTTAGCTTGAATCTATTGTCGAAGTTGGTCTGTTTCTTGTATGGATTCTCAAGATTCTCTACTCTCACTACTTTAGCTCCATCCTCTTTTTCCCTACATGCCCCATTAGTGGATTTTATTAATTAACAGCTTCTTGTATTTGACTATTTTCTTAATATTATATATGTATTAACAAAAATATACATTTTCTTAATATTCTGTACATCTTTTTTCAATTCCAGAAAAGGAATACCAACCAAAAAAAGTTTTAAAAGGTCTGAAACTTTCAGTTACTAGAATAAGGTGCTTGACAGCCCCATTTATTATTTTTAAAAATATTTTTTCTTATCTCTTAAAATTTTAAATCAACAAGCAATCCACTACTATTTATTTATTGCTTACTTCTCAATAAAGAAAGAAATAACACTAAATTTCCACCTAACCCATGTAAGTTTTGAATGTGAAATAAAAATGGTTTAAATATGATACAGTATTACAGAAATAACAGTGACAAAAGAAGGAAAAAATCATTAAAAGTAAGCTTCTATGTTTGAAAGAAAATCATTTTCTGATTTTAATTTATGGCTGACATATAGATAGATTAAACAAAGCAAAAAGACAAGAAATCTAAAAAGGTCATGGAAACACGTCTCCAACTAAAGACTGTCTTGTTCGGACAATTTCAATTTTATTTTATGTTTATCTTTACTAGAGAGCCAATGCTCGCTAAGCATATTCTTATCATTCTGCTGTCCCTGTTGCTTCTAATCTAAATATACAAATAATTGATAATCTCAAATTTTGAAGTCTTAAAAATTGTTTTCATGCTGTTTCCCGCACTACTGCTCTTACATATTCTCCTACTGTTTTAAAATAAAATATAAGAAAATTAAAAAAAAAACTGGATACTTTTCCTTTGTGTATGCAATTAAAATTAAATATAATGAAATTTGTATGATTCAGGGAGGAAATATAAGTTAGAAAAATTATAATATTTGCATGATTCAAATAATAGAAAGGATTTGTTTCCTAACCAACTGAAACGGAAGCGTTTCGGCGATGAAAAGAAGAAGAAGATGAAGAGGAGGAGACACTTACAGGTTGTGAATCCAGTCGAGAGGAACGTCGAGGGATGCGATAACGACGATATCAGCGTCCACGTGGAGGCCTTTGAGCGATCTGATCAAGACACGTGTCGCAACGTAGAACTCGTAGTCTCTTGGTGTTCCCATGTACATCATCGTCGCATAAGCGTTCTTGTGCTCCGGCCGTCGCGTCTGTAAGCCTCGCTCTATCACCGCGGTCATCGCGTTTGCGTTCTCCGTTTCAAGCGGCTGGAACAGCTGTTTATCGCGATACGCTGTCGTTTCGATGATCAAAAGAGAAAGAACCCAACACGAGAAAAACATACTTCTTTGCAAATCCATGCTTGATTTCTTCTCTATACAACCAAGAAGAAGGACTTAAGAATTTCAGAACTGTTTTTTGTGGGGATTTTCGATTTTCAGCATTTTGGGTTTTTTTTTAGAGGTTTATGTGATTCATACACACAAATATAAAAGTCATCACTTATATACAGACACATGTAAATATGTAATGGAATCATATTGGAGACTAGGAAGGCTTTAAAAGTAAATATAGTTGTGATTTGTGAGTGGCTATTGGCCAATAGAAAAGTTTTATTTTCAAATAATTTCTTCTCTTCCCGAGATAAAAATTTCCCATTTAAGAAATAATATTTTGGAAAAGGTTTGCCCGATTGAGTGATTTTGGTTATTAATACTAGTATTAGTTGCTTTTTATACCCGAATAAAAATACTGGTTGATGAAACTCAAAGATTTAAATTTAATGGACATTGAAAATTCTAATACATGCACTATGTAAAAACTTCAATTTCTTATCTGTCATATCTAAAGTCTTATGAACAGACGTATACTATTGCAAGATATGTCGTTTATTTGGAAACTTTTTCAAACGACGACGAGTGAGTTTGTTAAATATATGTTTCTCAAGATTTTTGAAAACAGTATATTACGAAATAGCATTATTCATTAATATTATTTTTTTATTCTGCAGTTTTTACAGCACTGCGTAATGGTAAATGAAGTTTTAAGAAATCGGAAAACCTTCTTTTTCTCGAATTTGATTAAAGAATTCAATATGTATTTACATGGTGCAACAGGAAAGTGTTAAATGCGAATGTCAAACAAGCTACTAAATTATATATCCATGGGACCAAGGTGGTTGTGAAAATGGTAGAAACGGTAGAATTTAGAAACTAGCTAGGGTTTCCAGACAGATAATTTGGTCACCATATGAGAGATTACCCAGCCCCGGCTCTGAGGCATGGCGGGAGGTGTAATGGTCATGGGTCCAAAATTTTAAGGGCCTAATTTTTTTTATATATATTAAAAACTTTGTTATAATATGTTCACATGAAAAAAATAGAACTAGTTTATAGTACATAATAAGGCTCATGATCTATTTAATAAAAAAGGATTATGATCTAAAAGAAATTATACCTATAATTTAAGGGCCCAATTTTTTTAATATATTATAAATTTTGTTAAAAATATATTCTTGAAGACAGCTATGAATATATAATTAATTTTTAGTACATAAAAAGGCTCATCATTTATTCAATTATTAATAACGTCATAACCTACTTATACAAAAAGAATTATACCTTAATTTTTTTTTTTGTTAACAAGACAAACAACCATCTCAATTATTTAAAATTACAAAGAATTTCAAGATCAGATCAATGTTTCAACAAAGGTTGAATGGTCTTGTACTTTTATGCATTGAAAAGGAAGTTTTAAAATTTATAAATTTTGAAATAATTATCAATAATTTTAGATCAATAAAGTTAGGAAAAAAAGATATGTATGATTTTTCATTTTTTTTAAAAAAATTAATATTCTTTTGTATTTGTTTTTATGTTTGATAATAAATTTTTATGCAATTTACAGAAATAATGCACTTGAATGAAGTATTATGTCGAAAAAATATTATACAAACTAGTTATGTATATATATATATTTTTAACAAACTAGCAACTTATTTTATATTTTAAAAATCAAAAAATTATAGTTTGATTTATTTTGATTAATACAATTACTTTTTATTAATATAATATAAAAAGTCCATATTTTATATTTCGCCTAAGGTTCTTGAAATTGCTAAGACGGACTGAGATTACCTAAGAGCTGATGCTGTTGAATGGAAAATTCATTCCGAAGCACAAGTAAACCTTCATGTGTTTTTCATTACTGTTAAATCGAGAGTCAATGAAACAAAGAAGTCAAACCTTCATGTGTTTTTCATTACATGCTCAAAGATCATACATAGGCCCACTTTCAACTGAAATGAAACGGTGGAGTAATTTCAAGATCCCAATTCTTAACATTGATCATTCTACTCAATTAAATACCGACCACTCAACTCGGTTTGTAAACGATCCGAGTAAGTGTTCTCCGCAATTCCGACATGGAAACTCGGATACATCTCTTCTTCGACTGTAGATATACTGCTGGTCTCTTTGGGAAGAAACTGCAAGGCGACACTCTATTAGATCCATTTGACAATGAGAGGCAAGTTTGGTGATGCTCTAGTCGCTGCCAAATGTGATTGGGTAAACCAATCAAGGATTTTAATGAAAATGTCATTGAGAACAAAAAAAAAGAATGTAGTTACATGCATAAACATTGAATATAATGGTTGGTCGACCGACCCAAGTATATAAAATATTCTAATACGAAATTAAATTCTTATAAGTAAACAAGATGATCTATTCTTCAGAATTAATTCATTTAGACTCCTGAAAAAAGCTCGACAAATTGCCTACTCGAATCCTCTCCGCATTGACTCACTGAGCAAACAAACCCTTGCTAAAGCATCAAATCAATGTATCAAGCAGATGAAGAGGATAATTTCAAGGACAGCTTCCGAGTCTGATAGATAAGAAAATTATATGTAATAGTAGAAAAAATTTTATACTCTCGAATAACTCAACTGAAATCAAATTGGTGCTTCATGAAATAATATAAAAAGTGTATATCCTCCGATATACTAGTTGAGATCTTCCTATTTAGCTTAGCTTAACGAGAATATTCGTTAATAGAGACCATACCTAACCTAACCTAGCATCTGCAAAACTCCTATATATACCATCTCGACCTATAGGAGTATTTTATTCACATCTCGACAGTTGTTTCAGAATGGCATCAAAAGTTCCCTTTGAGATGCTGGTTGCTATATACCTTTGGCGATGATACAGCCATATAAGCATGGTGAATCAACTAGAAAACAGAGCCATCAAACGCTCCAGCAAGGTACAACTTCCAAAGGAATTGAGAGCGAAAGTTTATTGCGATCTAGTAAGAGAAGGATTTCAAACAAAATGAATGAAGTAAGCAATCGAAAAAAAAAAAAATTTATTATTTCTAGCAAAAGTGCCCCACTCAACAAATACAAAACATAATAGAGAAAAGAACTGTACACTGGTTCCAAAAAAGTAGAGTCCAATAATGTTTTAGATTATTTGTCCAATATCAGCATGACTGAGTGCTCAAGTTATCAGAGTGTGTATACGTCCGCTCATGAAATTGTTCAGCGATCAATCAATAAGCATTAAAATGTAAAACAAGTTATTGATTCGCAAATGGTAAAAGGCCATTACCAATTATCACTCATGATATATCACCAGCGTTTTATGTAAAGAAAGGAACGAAAATCTCTATAAAGTTGTAAAAGCTTTGATGTATGACCATGAAAATATTTATCATGAAATGTTTGTCCAATACTCGCCACATCATAAACACATCAGCGTTAGCTACTACCGAAGAACGCCGTCATTAGCTGATAATCATTCAAGTCAATGCTTCCTACCAAATGAAACCAAATCTTGCTCATATAAGAATTGAGTGAATACATAATTGTGGTCGAATCTATAAATTACAGATCTTGCATGGATATAAAGGAGATATTATCGGTCAAAGCTCTCAAAATTTAAAAACAAAAGAGAATTTGAAATCCAAATATTGACATATACTCAGTTCTTTTTGTTCTCAGAAATCTCGTCTACATATTATATATGAAAAAAAAATCATTTAAAGTTATATGAAAGAAAAAAAAACTATTTGGATTATAATCTTTCTCATAGTAAAAGATAACATATGATAACACACATTTTCATATACTCTTTCTCATAGTAAATACTAGATTTTTATCCGCGCGTTGCAGAGACTTATTTATTTATTTAGTTAAATTTTATAATTTTATATTATTATATATTTATTTATTAAATTAATAGTATTATGTATTAATTTTTTCTTTTATTTCTAAATATTTTTTGTTCTAATATATATATATTTATATTGCAAATTTTTTTTAAAAAAATAAATTGTGATATATTAATTATTAAAAATATTTCATATATTTATATACTGCAATAAGTATTATATGTGTTCTTACTGTTTATTTGTATTCAATTGATTTATCATCTTTTTCTACATCTTATTTTCATAAATCAACAAAATGAAAACATCCTTTTCTACATCTTATTTTTATCATTTTTTAAAAAAAATCTAACTCATTTTCATGCACAATTAATCTTTTATTTTTTTTCTTTTTTATAGCTCTTATTCTCACTATTCTGATTGCAATCTACTTGATTTTTTTATCTTATTTCATGCAAGCTTCCATCTCATTCAGTTCCATGATCAGTCATAACTCTAAATAAGGAGACTTTTAGTTAGAGTTGGCTAGATAGAGTAAGAGATCTACTCAAGTATTACATATGTTTGATGGGTTGTTATATCAAAAAATTATGCTTACTTACTAAAATGATTGATTTTAATTGATTTGAGGCGTTTTTTTTTAATGATGAACTGTCTGACTATATTTATGAATGTGTGTGAGAATATTTTTGTCTATTTTCAAACCTTGTGAATGTAAACATTATGAATATGTTAAAAAGTATAATCAATAATCTTATTTTAGTTTATTTATATATTTTATATTAAAACTCATATATTATCTGGTTGATAAGTAAATTAATCGAATATCAATTTTATATTACCATCATTGAGAAAATGGTTGATAAGTATTTGCCATTTTTTTCCTCCTTCGTATAAATCAAATTCATTTCTATGCTATATAAATAAATACTTTATTTTTCTTTATTTATGAAAAACTTTCATTTATTTTACACAGTAAAGTAGATATGAATGATTTTATTTTAGTTTTACGCATTAATATTTCCGAACTTTTTTAAATAAGTTTGATAAGTATTCTGAGCAAGTTTTTTTGTCATCTTTCGTAATTGTTCACTTTCCAACTTTTTTTTTCTAATTATGTTTGTTTATATTCGAAATAACATTTTAAATTTTCTCTTTCAAAGAGAATTATAGTTTTTATAGTTTGTAAAATAAGTATTTGTTTCATATGAATAATTTTACTTTAGTTATATATATATATATATATATATATATATATATAAATTTTCCTAAAGTTTTTATATAATTTTTATAATTATTTTCTGTTTGTTTGTGGTTGCCTTCCAAACTCTTTTTCACAAATGAAGAATTTGTAATTTTTTATGATTTCCAAAATAAGTATTTTTTTAAAATTTCAAATTAATCACATTAAAAGCCCAAAAATAAATACCCAAAATACAAAAAACTTAAAAATAAAACCCAAAATATTTAAAAGCCTATTTTAAAATTAAAATTGTGCTGATGTGGACACCTTAGATGGAGAGAACACTCTCTAATTATTTTTTCTGTAATTTTTTGTATGTAATTTTTTATAATTTTTCACAAATGAAGAATTTGTAATTTTTTTATGATTTTCAAAATAAGTATTTGTTTTTAATTTCAAATTAAACACATTAAAAGCCCAAAAATAAATATCCAAAATATAAAAGCTTAAAAACAAAATCCAAAATATTTAAAAGCCCATTTTAAAATTAAAATTATGCTGATGTGGACACCTTAGATTGAGAGAACACTCTTTAATTATATGTACTAGTGTTTTTTCCACGCTACGCGTGGATTGTATAGTTATATTGTAGTTTTATAAAAGGTTGTCAATTAATTTTGTGTTTAATATTGTGATAAATTACAGAGTAGTATATTTGCATGTGATTCTTAGATATAATCGAGCGAAGTAAGTATCAGAAGGATGTATATATATATATATATATATGAAAAGATGATCAAAATTTTTGTTTAATATACTTTTTGGCTTAGTTAAACTTTTTTTTTAAGAGTTAATGCATGTTTTTGCAAATATAAAGGGTAAAGTTTGACATTTTTGTATAATAATTTGATTTGTAATTTTGTTATATTTTTTGTTTATGTAAATAGTATCCACATGAACTATATATTATATTAGAAATATATTGTCTAAATTTGGACATCTTATGTTATAATGCTATTTCTTTAGTGAACACCATGAGTATTTTTTTATACTTTCAAAAATATTTTGCATATTCGCTTGATGGTTTTAAAAAGAAAAACTCAATCCTTACTCCATTTTTGTTTCATATTGTGTATTAGGATTTTGTTTTTAATTTTCATATAGTATGCATTTCTCTACTTATCAATTTTTTAAGATTCAGTATGTACATAGATGTTTTATAATTAGTTCATATATTCAACGAAGAAAACAAATGGCAATTAATAATAAATTTTTTTATTATATGAGTTCTTTATTGATTGATATAATATTTGTTTGATAGTTTAGCTAGCTCAATCATTTGCCAATATTAGTGAAGGGTGTGGAATTTATCGTTATATGTTATTTGAAAAAAAAATCTTTTCAGTTTTATGTTTCATGAAATTTTGCAAATAAAAATTAAGAAACGGTGAGTAACTGTTTTTAATCACCGGTTCTTTAGTTAGATTTTTACTTCAGTTTTTCTACAATATCGGATTACAACGAACAATATGGAACTTTATATCAGCTTTAGAAACTTGAAATCTGTTATAAATCAAAAAGTTACAATTGTATAAATTAATTTTCTCTAGACGAAAGAAAACTGAGTCGCTCCTTAAGTTTTACTTTTGACGAGAAAGACGTTCTCCAGTTCCAACAATACTATGATTCAGACACATTCTACTCGATTCCCATTATAAATATAAATGCAAAACAATTGTGAGATTATATTTTTATGTTGCTTACAACAATCTCAAGCATGAGACACATTAGACTTCATTTGTGAGAGAGTAATGTATTATTTATACCATATGTGGCTCATTGCTATGTCTTTTTTTACATCTCTTTTGGATTTCCAAATGTTTAGTTTCCACTTATTTAAGTTTTATTATATATTATCAGTTTGATTGTCATTAATTAAAAAGTAAAATTTATGTTTAGTGACGGCTGATTCCGTTTCTGGTGAGTCAGAGGCGAGATGATTGGAAACCGAGAAGATGGTGACCCCATAAAATAAGCTTTTATTTAGGTTTTATAATTGAGTTTTAGTGTAATTCATTTTCAGTTTTTTTTTTAGCTTTGTTTTTTTTATTGAGAATCTAAGAATTATAAAAGTTTTTTTTAGGTGAAATTTGAAGAAATTTTGATTAATAAATTATTTAATAAAATAGCTTTAAATTATTGAATGGAGAATATGACATAGCAGTTTTGGAATCTACCATTGGTTAATCATTTTTGATGATGTGGCAGCCCTTAAAAGCCTAGAAATCTATCATTTTTATATAAAGAAGATGATTTGCAATCTATGTGAGTTTTATCTTAAAGTGTCATTATATTCTTAATATTTATAGATTTGTTTCTATTAATTAATATGATTAACTTTTTTTGCATTAGACTATTACATATAGTTAGTCATATTAACGAAATAAATCTAGAGACATTGAGAGTACAATGACATTTTAAAGACAAAACAAACTTATAATGAATATATTTACTATGAGGAAGAGTATATGATTAAGGTGTTAGACTTGTTTTCCCGATAACACCCGCAAACACAGTTTTTGCCGGTGGTAGTGGTTGTTGGGGAAAACGTTTTCAATTGCTCTATACTGTTTTTCTTCTTTAAAATCTAAAGCACATTCTTACTAGCATTTGTGGTTGTGGGCGATTGCGGATGAACACTTAAAAAATAAAAATTAAAAAAATATAAAAATTATTTAAAATCAAAACATATATAATATTTTTTCTTAAAACATGTTTTAAATATTATAATTACAAAATATATAAATTATAGTTTGATAGTTTTTGAAGTAATATTAATTAAGTATATTTATGGTCTAAAATTGATATTCATCAACTATTAATCATAATTTTCTATTTATAAAATATTTAAACCAAATAAATTTAGATAATTTTTTTTCCTACCACTAATAATTATATATATAACAACACACATTATTTTAATATAATTTTAATATTCAAAAAATTATAATTTTATCTCATCTAAAAACAATTAAGAAATAAACGTAAATATTATGCATATAATATTTTTATGAATTTTATTATTAATTTTATTGAATTTATAATTTTTTATTTTTTCATAGTAATATATTTTGTTGTTTTATTAATTATATAATGTATCTATATTGTTATTTTGTTGTGTAATCGCTTTTGCACCCACTGACCAACCAATCAAAAATGTTCTGTAAATACATCCACTTTCAATCACTATACCAGTCGTACAAATAGCTGGTTAACACTATTAATCGCAAATATCTATTTTTGTAAACTTCCGCATCCGTAACCTCAACTGCTGTGTTTAAACTAGTCAGACCCTCACTCTTTTTATATGATTAGCTTATTAGGATGGCGCTTATAATACACTACTGTTTTAGGATTGTATTTTCTCATTCACACAATTACAATATATTGAAGCTTATAATGATTGGTGAATTATTCTAGTAATATATTAACAGATACTATAGTGTGGATAGGCTAAAGATAGTAGATACCACCAACAACGGTTATTTATTATGCTAATTAAAAATATTTTTGCAGAATGAGAAAAGAAGTAAATTGGAAATCGGATCTAATTAATCTTTTAAGAAGGACATATCTGTTTGTTACAAATTAGCTACGGTGAACTAATAGAAATTTTGAATTTTTGAAAATTAATTATTATTCTATTTAAAGATCATTTTTTGTCAAAAATTCAAAGAAAAATGGACTCAAGGGTGATTGCGTCCATTCTTGTTATTCCCTTTTACGTTTTAGTAATGCAACTAACTTATCAAATTCATCAAAATCGCAAAAACATCAAAAATTGGAGAACAAATTATTGTAAAAAACGAAAAAGAGTTAATTGCGTACAATAACTTATCGCTTGGAGGCTGTAGATGGGCTCCGGTGCGTTGGTGGCTTCAACCGGGGTTCTGGCTTCAGCATACGTGATATTTGATCACTAGACTAACATCACATGATTTTTGGATCCTTTAATATAAAATTGTGGATTTTTTTTTTTTTTGAACAAATTTGCTATGTCATCCATAAATACGTCTGTCGCTGGATCACTCGAAGGTTTGTACATCCAAGATCCAAAATAATCATAACCATCTGGAAAGACATTTCTTGAAGTTTTTTCTCATGATTTGTTGTGAATAAGGGTGGCTTTTTATTACAGTATAAACATATTTTTGATGAATTTCCAATGGTATATCAAAATTTCAACGACTATAACAACGGTCATATTTATAGAAATATTTTTTAATAGATTCATGTACCTCGCAAATATCGTTAGATAAAAAAGTGGTTTCTGTAATGGTAATAGGGAACTTACTATGTTGATTTCAAGTAAATAGACAATAATTTAATAAATAAAAATTCCTGAGTGAATTGTTTTCCCATTATTCAAATTTAAACAAAACGTCTTATTCATTAAACAATATGATATGAGATACAATGGTGTAACAATGAATAAAACAGTAAATAATATAAATAATACATGGACAATATTATTCATGTGGTGATGAAATAACGGGGAAGGTTCTTAAGTACCGATAAAACCAAAACCGGAGACGAAAAAGGCAGTGGCCTGAAGAAAAAGATAAAAATGTAACCATGTGTGGCCATTGATCAGTCCATAGAATGCACATCCTAATATGTATATCCCCACCATCACTTCCTTTGAATTTATTCTGCAACAACAACACAGTTTTTGTTCTTTTAAATTTACGTTGAAAACATAACTTATAAAAGAAACATAGGAAAAAACTCAGCGCCAATGCCTCATCTATAGGATCTAAGATACCTTCGAAAAAGTGAACCTCAAGAACACATGAGTGTAAGTTTCGATGTTGCAAAAGAAACTAATTTTTTAATGAAAAAAAAGAAACTAAATCTACATGTTTAATTAGTTTCTTGTCTGAAAAAAATTATGGTCCAGCAAAAACGGTAAAATAAATACATTTTCTTTCTCACCTTTCATAACAAGATTTACGTGGGACGACCTGAGAGAGTAACTTCTTCTTCAAATCTCCCAGTTTCTCGGTCACAACCCATTCGTTCACTCTTCCTCCTTCAAGTAGGCCAATGCAAGTTCCTTTGGATCGATGCATAGCCATTACATTCTCGAACAGAATCCAAAATAGCACGAGGTAGAAAGATCTGTTTTGATTTAAATATATACACGCGTTAATTTCATGTTAGAAGATAGATTAATTTTGGTCATCAGTAATTGAATCAATTTTAAGGGTACGTAGGTAGGTACCTTGGAGTTGCCATGGTGTGGAAGATACTGATCAAAGAGGGAATGTAAATGGTGGACCAAGATGGGATGTGGATTTCAGGGAAGAAGACACTTGTTGGCACAATTATACAGTAGAAGAAGAATGTCAAGAAGTGTACTGCCACTTTCCTTATGAAGAAAAAACTGTAGATCACATAGAACTTCTTCCAGATTGTTACTCTCTGTGTTCCAAAACAAACATTTTTGCTGTTAATAAGCTTTTGAGCATATTCTACAGAGCAAATAAGAGGGTTTAATCCTAATTAAATTAAACAAACAAACTACTTAATAGAAAGCTTTTAATTCCTCCTTTAAAATGCTTAAAGAAACAAAAACTGAAACAAAACCGAAATATCAATTTTTGTTGCTTCCCTAAATCATCAGAAGTTCAGTTGCAATTATAAGGTTTTCATTTTTTAAACCGAAAACCAACAAAAACAAAGAAACAAATAAAGACCGAACCAATTTAAACCACACCCATTGATTAAAATTGGAAAAAATCTCTATACAAGTTTGGTTTGGTCAAACCGGAGTAAAATGGAACCATTTTGAAACTGGACAAACCCTTTTTAAGATACCGTACATATCACTTTCCGGTCCCGCCAAGAGGCAAAGGTGTGGCCTATTGCCTTAAGCTAATCAATCAGTCATTGAAACGTTTATTTCTAAGATTCCACTACTTCAAACAAGACACCCTGCTTATCACTATCAGGGTCCCAGACACACAAAAAGTTAAACCAATCAGTCATTGACACGTGGGGTCTGCAGATAAAGTACAAGTGACAAAACAAACCTTGTTGTAAATGATCTCCATCGTCATTTTTCTGAATAGATTCGCCGGACCACAGGACCACCTATGTTGTTGGAATCTGTAGGCCTTGAATTTGCTTGGAAGCTCGTTTCTCACCTACAAAACCCCAAACAAGCCATTTATTGTCTGTGATAACAAAAGGAGACTAATGTATTTATTCTTATAATTTCTGTATGTATTATTATTGAATACCTAATTTTCTATAATATATATATATATTATTAAAAAAACGTGATATTGTACCGTGAGGTCATTGAGAAAGACAAATTTCCAGCCGTGAAGACCAACACGAACAGCCAAGTCCATATCTTCTACTGTGGTCCTTGAATTCCATCCTCCAGCTGCTTCTATAGCCGATATTCTCCATACACCCGCGGTTCCTAACATGTTATATCAACTTGTATTTCACGGTCCGAAAAAAACTGTGTCTTATAATTATTTAGTTAGTCGCTCACAAGGTGTTTCATCTTTATATATATATTTTTTTAATTATCTCTCACCTTAGCTAAAGATGGTAAGCCTTATCTTGGACTAATTCCGAAACAAAATTTTATATAAAATCAATACTCATTTTGGTGGGCTTTATACCATGCGAAGGTTGATGACTCCCAATTTATAAGTAGTGTAATGGTTCGTGACCCTTATATTTGAGTGATTTATATGCTTTGGGGATTAAAGTATACCATTGAAACCAAAGAAAGCATGTCTAGTAGACCCTGATTCTTGTTCCACTTTGAAATGGTAGTTGAGGGACATCTCTTGCATCCTCGTCATCAAGCATTCGTTCGCGTTCACTTGCAACAACAAAAAAAAAAGAAAACCGCAGTTCATTGTCATTGAAAATCACATATCGTATTTCATCTCAGAACCAATCAACAATTGCACGATGACATAAATGATTAATAGTATAATATATACCAAAGATCCACCGGGCTTGAACGAGAGCAACATCAGGGTTGTGAACGAGGAAGGGGACGGCACGCATGAGGTAATCGGGCTCGGGCTGGAAATCGGCATCGAAGACGGCCACAAAGTCGCATTGCTTGACGTAGTTATGCGTAAGAGCTTCTTTCATAGCTCCCGCTTTGTACCCGTTCCTGTTATCTCTTCTTTCACACCTTATGTTTATGCCTTGGCTTTGCCATTTTGCAATCTCTATGTCCACACCTTCCTGCTTATTCCCCTTTCACATTTAGTATACTATACAATGTGTGCATCCCAACATGTAACGTATGCACTACTCTCGAGTCTCGACTATATAAAAATCTTGTGTTATATAACTTTTTGAGAATTAACTAAATTATTAATTTATAAACACTTTAGGTGGAAAAAAAACTGTGAGAAAACTAGTGTGTTACTACTATAATACTAGTATTTTCTTTAAAAAGTATATACGAAAACTGTTGTAATTTTCAAAATGACACAGTTTTAAATATTAAATTCGAATTTGGAAGTATCATATAAAGAAACAAACAAAAAAAAGATAAGAGCCATACTTTAAAGTAGTATACTGTACATATGTTTAATAGAAAATTGTCAGAAATACAAACTTTAGTTTAACTTCTTATTTTCCTAAATTGTAGGCGCTAGTTAAGTGTTAAGAAATGCTTAAACACCTAAATAATTGAACAGAGGTTAATTAATTGTAGTTTTTCCGTAACTTAAAAAAATACAATTAATTAGTAAAATATGATTAGATATACATTAATGGTGTATATTTCTACTTTCAAGTTTCAACATAATTTTTCATTTTTGTAACTATTATTTTTTAAAATACTAATATATAAAGAATGTCTAAGGCTTAAATATGGTTGATTTTGTGTGGATCAAATTTCTAATCGATTTGGCCAAAATCGCCAAAATTAATACATCTAAATCGTTTTATTAGAACCGTTCAAAATTATATAAAATAACTTTTTTTCAAACATCTATTTTAATAAATATATAAAAATCGAAAGTTATTATATGTTTTATATTCTAACAAGCTAACTTACCCTTACGACCGGATCTGTAGAATCATCTACAACTTGCACTACTAGACGGGTCGATGGCCATAACATACTGCACACTGCCGCTATAGATAACTGAAAGACCTACAACGTGGAGTGTGCATCAATTTGCGTTAGTTCGTATTATTATATTATAGCATAGTAGAGAGTGTAAGAGTGGTATTTATTTATTGTATACCTCTTTTTCGTTGTACATTGGTATTTGGACAAGAACCATTGGATAGTTTTGGGGTCCAACCTCGACATCTTCTTGCATGGCTTCCCATTTGTACACTTTCTCGGGTTTACGTCTAAATAACTTGACGAAGAGTATGACAAAGTTCATGTAAAAGCTCTCTAAGAACACTATGATGGATATAACCAAGCACAAAACCACCAAACCCTTGAAAACTGGAAGAAGCACAAGACTCCTCGTTTTTCTCCACAAATATTGGATTTGCCTCCATTCCGATTCTGCAGCATTATTGTCTGCTTCAAGCCTCTCGTGGGCTGCTGCTGCATCTTCAAGACTCCATCCACTGAACTAATTCATGCATGGGAAATAACGATTAATTAGTTAATGTCACAGCAATTAATATATAAAGATTAGATAGATATGTTATATATATATATATATAGAGAGAGAGAGAGAGTTAAGTATGATTTACTAGAAGCAAGAGAAGGCTAAGAGTGGAGTCGTATAGGAAGAGCAAGGGCTTCAGATATAGAGACATTGTTGCCCTAAAGCTGAAGCTCGAGAGAGGAAAAGTGATAGCTTAATTTTTCCTTCTTTCTTGTCACGAAATGACCCTTTTTATTGAGAATTTTTAATATTTTTTTATTGCAACGCCTTTTCACTTTTTACTGATACAGCCTCCTTTTTTGTTTGTCATACACTGTTATGATCTCCAGTTTTTTAATTTTCCTTTTTACATTTTAATTTGAGTGGACGGTGAGCGATAACGTTATCACACCTTCTTTAAGCTGGTAGCCACAGAAGGGAACAAAACAAAAAAAGAATCAACTCCTCTTCTTCATGATTGGTTAGAAATTCCCACGTGATTCATTCATTCTTCTCTACTTTCATATTATCATTACAGGTTGGTTGTATTTCGTAATTTAGTGGCTTACGAGTTACGAGTACGACGGCTGCATTAACAGTTTAAAATGATAATAATATAATTAAACTCGTATGCATGTGTAAAAGTAAAAACGCATATGAAAATTATAAAAGAAATTTACTGCAAATAACAAAAAGTGAAATTTACAGTTCTTACTTTCAAGAAAGGAGATATATGGTTATACATATATTATTTACCTACCAATTTTTTCTATCATGGTATAAATATTGAGGATACATTTTTTGTTAATTTACTGGCTTCATTTTTTTTTTCATTTTTTTAAATTTGGAACTTGCAAACATGTGGTTTATATCTTCTTTTTTTTTACGTTTAGCTATTTGTTGGTTGCTACTTGTTTGCCTTGTTATAAAATTTAAAGATACACATGTGACATGTCCCATTACTAGTCCCCTGTATTTTCAGAATTGGAAAATTTAATAAAAATAAAATTTTGTAATTATCTTATTACAAATAAAAATATTGTGAATTCAGTTATATGGTATTTTTTTTTAAAATATAAAAATTTCATTTTTGGAGAAATTTATCACAATTAGCATTTTCAAAACTACATTAGTAAATTTAGCATTTCCTTTTATACCACATTTTTCTTCCGTTTTTTTATCAGGATATTAAGAATCAAGAAAAGTAAACACAAATGCGTCTGTGTCAAAATAATTCAGAGAACAAAAATATTTAAAGATAAATTGTGTGTATTTCTAGATGAAAGTAAAAAACAAAACCACTTTCTAATAGTTGTATAATGTCTATCTTGTCGTTGGAATCAATTCCAAGATCCAATTCATGAGAGCCCGGGACCAATTTCATGACGAACTTGTTACTATTTAGCAAACCCATGTGGTTCTAGATTCTATTTTAGTGTCGTATAAATTGGTATTGTACAATACTACTAGCTAGTCTACTATTAAAATTTTATACTGACTTGAAAATTATTCATAAACCGACTCATGAAATAAATCTATTATATAAAACTGGTTGAACATACCTTATAATTTTTAATGTCGAAATAAAAAATTAGTCAATCTAAAGTAGTAGTGTAGCACAATGGACCAAAAATAGTAGTGTAGCACACCATTATATTAATGATCTTTCAGAAACCAATATCGACACAATATATAAAATTAGATCAGGTGGTGTATGAAATTAGAATTTTTGTTGGCTCTTTAATTTTTTTTTTTTAAATATGTATATCTATTGGTTGTTGGTGTGTGCATAGCTGCATATCACAGGCTCATGTATCACTCTTATAAATATCGGAAAATCTCCAAACCCTAAGTGGAGTTGCAATCAAGGCCTAATTCATGTCACAGTTAATAATGAAACATGTGCTTGTGACTGTGTGGCTATATATATAACACACACATAATCACGTAATTTCTTTTTTGGTCCATACAATATAACAATAAAGCGGTCAAATCAAGAAATAAAAACACTAAAGCTCAAATATAATGCAATTGTGACTTCAACTGTTCATTTGCAATACAACTCAACATATGATACATAATTCCAGTTGATATTGGACGTAATTACTTTGTGAAGTATAATAATTGTGTGTGGGTTCATCTTGTAAGCTGGTATATATAAACCAGGGTAAGTTTTTTTCTTTCTTTTGGTTAAGGTGCCGGTTTGGCTTTGATCAAGTCTATATATATATATACCGCACAATGATGCATTTCCTCGCCAGTCACCATCCTCGGTGAAAACGGAATGAAACGGATATTTAACAGGGGTGGCCGCGGATCCGATATCCGGTAATTTTTTAGTATTTGTGGTTTACTCCGTTTTTAACGGATATTTAATTTTATGATTTGATTTGTTCTGGAAATATACGGATATCCGGATTTTCGGATATCCGGAAAATTTACAAGTATTTGCTGATATTTGCGGATATTTACGAATATTTATGAATATTTAGTTTGATCCGTTTAATATACACAAAACTGAAAGTACATCAATTTTTATTATAAAAAAAATATTTTTCATCTAAACTATTAAGTAAAAATAACTAAAAGAAAATATTTTATTTTATAAAAAAAATCTATAAAAAATAAACCTACAAAATTAAGATGAGGAAAAAATGATATTTTATATTTAAAAATAATATTATCTATTTGAAACTTTAATATTAAACTTTACTAAAAAAATTTTGTTGATATTTATTTACTAATATAAAATAAAATGTTATTTATTAACATATTTTAAGTTTAAACATATTATTTATTTTTTATAATTGGTTATTTAGTCATTTATTTTATATAATCAAAAGAACAATTGAAAATTTAGGAAGAAAATTGAGAATATATTAATAAAAATTTATAATATAATTGATATATACATGATAATATATAATAAATTTATAAAGATACGGATCGGATCGGATATCCGGTGTTATCTAAAAACATATTTGTGATTTGCTCCGTTTTATACGGATATTACATTTTGCTATTTACTTTGCTCCGAAACTTTACGGATATCCGGATTTTTTGAATCGGATCGAAGCAAATATCAGTTCGAAACATATATAACGGATATTTTGCCCTTATTTAACGCCGTGGAATTAAGGCTGGACCTTTCGTAGGCTTCTTTGGAGAATCCGGGTTGATTGCTTCTATAATGGGCTTTTTATAGGCCCAGTAATCGAAATGATTTATACAACCTCGGTTCTCGTTATTATTAGTCCATATAAAAAAAGAATATATACGGCTGAGATATTGCTAAATTTTATGATCCAACGGCTGAAAATCACTTCCGTCCAATAAGATGTGAGAGGAACATTCTGATCTTTCTCTGTACCCACGCGTACATTTAGAGGATTCCGGAGAAACTTGAGACATCCCTAATTTTACTGAATTGCTTTTTTTTTTAGAACAAAGAAAAAAAAAAAAGAGAACAAGCGAGTTGCCTCTGACCACAGCAGCTTTTGTGTTTTGCCTTAGAGATCAGATTGGCTAGGGTTCTTTCATGCAATCCGTTCATATAATTTCTGGATTCTAGCCAATTTCTGTGATAATTTATCTTTTAATTTTTTCCCTTATCATCATCGACCTTGGTTTGACATTATCATCACCGGAAAGCTTTGAAATAGGAAGTTTAATCCTGGTAAACTCTGAATCCGTCTTCGTTTTTACCGTTGATTTGAGCTCTGCGTTTGTGGGTTTTGCGTTACGATCAATCCCTTCAGGATTCCTTCCTAAGATTCTCACCATCTCACGAGGTGAATTAGATCGGTTTTAATCGACGGAGTAGTAATTGCGCAGTGATGCTTCGGGAGATATGATCTTCTCCGTCTCTGGTTATTACTGGTTTCTATATTATACTTAGAAAAGAATGTTACCTGTGAGAGAAGGGCTTCAGAAACAGGTCAAGGTTCTGATTGGATTAGGGAATCTAGGGTTTGGGGGTTACAAGGGTTTCCACTCTAGATTTACCAACCCTAACGGATTTCTCGAGCCCGCGAGCTCCGATTTGCTCTTGATCAACGAAAGGAGGAACCTTTCCGTCGCTGGTGCCGTCTCTCGGACTTTCTCTGTTCCCTCTGTATCTGGTCCGGCCTTTCAGGTCTATGGGTATCACATTGATCTTTTGCTTTCGGAGCCGGGTGTGGCATCAGTAAAGGCTCCGGTTAAATCAATGGCGAGTTTTGTTTCCAAGTCCTTGTTTGTTGATCCTCTGGTTTCAAAGCGTTATGCTGGTATGGTGTATGGAGATGGTAGAATCAGTATGAGACTCAGAGGAAGTGGTCACCGGGAAAACTCTACGGTCTACGGGTACTTTGCTTATAGAGCGGCGAAGAAATGGATCTCCATGAATCCCCAAAGTAAAGGAATGGGATTTAGAGGCTTGCATAGCTCACTCTCTAATCGTTCTTCAGCTGGGAATGCTCCTGATGTCTCGTTCGATAACTCTGCCACAGAGGAACAAGCTAAAGATTCTTCATCAGACTCTGTAGCGGCTAAGCTAGGTGTTAAGCCTCTGAAGCTCGTCTCTGGCTCGTGCTATCTACCGCATCCTGATAAAGAAGAGACTGGAGGAGAAGATGCTCACTTTATCTGTGCAGAGGAGCAGGCGTTGGGTGTTGCAGATGGTGTGGGAGGTTGGGCAGAGCTCGGTATCGATGCTGGTTTCTACTCTCGTGAGCTTATGTCTAACTCGGTGAATGCAATCCAAGACGAGCCTAAAGGATCGATTGATCCAGCGAGGGTGTTGGAGAAAGCTTATACTAGCACAAAGTCACTGGGTTCTTCAACGGCTTGCATCATTGCACTAACGGACCAGGGACTTCACGCGGTTAACCTAGGGGACAGTGGATTCATGGTAGTCCGTGAAGGGCATACAGTGTTCCGTTCACCGGTTCAGCAGCATGACTTCAACTTCACCTATCAGCTCGAGAGTGGGAGTAACGGCGATTTGCCTAGCTCAGGTCAGGTTTTCACGGTTGCTGTTGCTCCTGGAGATGTGATAATAGCAGGAACAGACGGTTTATTCGATAATCTGTACAACAACGAGATCACGGCGATAGTGGTTCACGCTGTGAGAGCTGGGATAGATCCTCAGGTAACGGCGCAGAAGATTGCAGCTTTGGCGAGGCAGAGAGCACTTGACAAGAACAGACAAACTCCGTTCTCTACGGCAGCGCAAGACGCTGGGTTCAGATACTATGGAGGTAAGCTTGATGACATTACAGTTGTTGTCTCTTATGTGGCGGCTTCGAAAGATGAAGGGAAACATTGAATGAAGAGACGACAAATACAGATTTGTGATGATGTGTTGAGTTTTTTTTTTTAAGGTTTGCGTTTTGCAGAGACCTCTCTTGTTTTGTATGGTGGCTTGTGAGCAATTCTCCTCTCTGATTACATTTGATTTTTTGAAATATGTATATGTAAATAAAAGAGAAAAGAGTACTTGAGTTGTATTAAGAATTGATTCACGCCCACAGGCTCACAAAAATTTTAATAACACACCCACAGTAAAATCTGGTGGAGTTTCACTTTTAACTTCTCACTTTTGCCCAAAGTAGTGTCAATCATTGTTAGTTTGACTCATTTTCTTTTTTTGGTCAAAACTCTCATTCCAACCAACGTTTACCGCTTTAATTACCAATCCCACATTTAAGTGCATCATTTTGAGCTGTCAAAAACAAATAAGTGCATGACTTTGACATTAAGGAAACATAACTATCAAGTTGTTACAAACATAAACAGTACATCGCAAAAACAAATTTACTAAAGTTTCTACTTGATAATAAGCCAAGGTTGACCAAAAAGACAATTTAGTTCTCAACTCTCAAGTCCTTTTGTAGTGAGAAAGGCTCGAAAACGATTGGGAACCTACTGAGAGATATAAATTAAAAAATGGTCAAGAGAGAGTATGTGTGATGATGAGCTCGCCGTTTGAAGATGGATCTAAGGAAGCTTGGATTCCTATGGATGAGAGACCTTTCTCTCTCACAGTGATTGGCTTCCCTAGTAGCTTCACTCCTTGCTTCCAATATCTTACATCTGTAAGCAGAGAATGTCATCAAAACGATTGATATAACCTCATGAGGCGTGAATCGAAACAAAACAGCTAAATATAATTGCCTTTAGTCGTTAAATCAAACCCAAATCACAGGTAACCATAAGCAGCCAACAACTATCGCTATTCGAGCCCTTTAAATCAAGAATCATGATTATGAGTACGCTAAGAGTTATGAGTCTCATACCGGGTCCTGTTGAGATCACGGTTGAGTTTTCTTTGTCCATCACCCAATCCATCCACAATGCAATTCCATGGCATATACCAGATTTCATAAACTCAATCTGTTTGCAGAAGAAATCATTTCATCAGTGTTGTTTGTACTAATGACGCTTCTGCAAGCTGCATGTACATATATAATCTGTGAATTTCCAACTAACATACCTGGACTTCCCCAGAACATGGACCTGTGATGGGCTTGGAGAAGTCAAACTCCATGACTGTGAATTCCTTGCTCAGTTTCTGAAAATTTTCCAACAGAACGAACAATCTTAATGTGTCCCAACGCTTGTTAGTTTATGTAAATCTAAGAACTTCTGTTTACCTTTGTCTCTCCACATTGCCAGATAAAGAAGGGCAAACAAGGACTGTCTTTACCAGAAGGTAGATCACCACATCCCCCTAAGGTTGTATTCACCAGTGCATGGTCAAACCCTTCTACACTCCCAAGGCAACAACGGCTCTTCCAGAGATCCTTCACCATAAGCCAATTCATGAATATACAAGCAAAAGCGTCTCTGTTTTAGAATTGCTAAGAAAGGATTCAGTACTTACAGGAAGATACATTGCACAACCTCTCAAAACACCTTTATACGGCATTACCACTGCACCTTCTGACAGGACAGAATCAAGTAGAGTTCTGTCCTTCCTTCACGCATACCAGAAAGAGAATCAGGCTATCGTTGACAAACTTTATAGCATCTTTGACAAAGTTAAGTGACCAATCCAATCGCAACATTTACCAGAATCTGAGATTCTGCCATGGAAGCCTACTTTCAAGTCCGTAGTAATATGGTTCTCCAATTAGCAGATCAATCTGTTGAGAGAACATAAGGACACATTATCCAATTGAAACCCAAATATCATTTAAGATTTTGAAATCACTAAGCATAATGACTAAGGAGACAATAAAGAGCTCAGCACCAAGCCATGAATTTTGAATATGATGTACATCACGTGAAAATTTACCTTGCCTAGATACGCTTCCGCCAACTTGGCCTTCCCTTCTCCAAAATATTCGAAACGATCTTTTGAAAAGCCATTTGAATCAGCAATGGCTTCCAAGTATCTGGCAGAAATCTCTTGCAGCCCAGGTGACAATGATATTACCCGTGATCTGTTGGAAATACGTAGAGCCATAAGTGGTAAGAGAAGACTATCATCAATGACGAGACATTGTGGATGAGATTTTCCCTGTAACTGGAAAATAGGTGAAGAACATTAAAGTGCGCACCAGTATGTAGGAAACAATAATATAACTATCTAGATTGGAATAGTGTTCCTTATTAGCGTAGAGGCTTAGAACCTACAGCGTTTCTTGTGGCCTCCCATATCGATTGCCTATACATATTGTCACCATATATTGCGACTCTTTCTGCTGGTAATGTGAGGTGCAAATATCCAGTACTTAAATGAGACTGTGTCATCTCATGTGTCAAGCTTTGCGTCTTCTTCAGATTATACAAGATGTTAGTACAAGTATGAGCAGCATGCAAATGAACTTTTTCTCCTTTGGATATGGACACACCTGCTCCTGGAGTAAACCAAACACACTGTTTCCAATGGTCACACCAGTCCCTCAAAGCTGTATTAAGAACAAAAGAAAATTGGTCAAATGAGATCAGTGATCAAGTACATCTTGGGTCCCAATGGGGCTGAACGTAGTGCAAGTCTGGGGAGGAAGGATTCCTCCACAGACCATATAACTGTGTGAGAATTGACATAAAATCCCATGATTTCTACAAGAAGATGTAACTCGCCTGTCTCAGAATTTGAATCTATCCATCTGGGAGCAGTAGAGTAGAATATTGTTCCTTCACTATCAAGCTGCAGCACCCACCTGAACGAAAACATATAAGATTCCTCACAACATACTTAAATATGTAGCACAAAACAAAAAAAGACAAGAGTATTCCTACATTATTGAGTATTAACTACCAGTATTGTGAAGTTATAAGCAGTTCAAAGGAAAAGAAGAAAGGCAGTAAAAGTCGTATTACCATGAAATTATAGCATGAATACTACCCGCGCTTATCGCATCGATGTGCACTTCAAGCTCTCCATTACTTTCTGGCCGTTTCCAAAAGTCAAATTCAAATATTTTGACGGGCTCTGACAACTGGATAAATATATGAAATTGAGTGTCTAAACTAAAGCTTATTGCAATAACTTTAAGGGTAAAGTTTGGGATATAAGTACCAGCTTGATCTCCTTCTCAATAGCATCGACATGCATGCCATATTGTTGTGACTTGATGCCAAATAGGCTCTCTGAACCAGGAGGAACTAGACGAACACCGTCGGGGCTTTTAGCCTCGTTATTTCGTAGATCATGCATGTTACATAAGAATGTGCTCTCAACAAGCTTTACATTGTAAAGAAAAAGCAAACGGAAACAATGTGAGCAGGCATTCAATAAAACTCAAGCTCAAGATAGATTAAGTTACGAACCTGACAATACGTAGTAGCTCGATATGGCACTGTTTTTGGATTATCGACCAGTAACATGTCATGAGCATGTTGTAAACTTGGGATTAGACCTTCACCAAGTAACTCAGAGTCCAATATTTCGCTTACCTAATCAAGAACAGGAAAGAAGAAGAGGCACTAATGTTTATTTTCCTCCAACAACGTATAGAAGATTGTAACATACTAATCATGAGAAGTAGCTATACTTACAAGAACGTCAGCTCTTGAAGCAAGCTCTGACCCAACTTTCAGCTCATCGGAACGTTTGTTGATAAGGTTAACGTTCTTCGTCATCCCGTTCTTATGCAAAACCTTCCTCATAAGCTTCACCATCGGGAGATACGACTCGCACGCCGTCACTATACCCTTTGAATCACCGGACTCTTCTTCTTCTTCTCCCATTGCTCTCGCGGCCATCATCGATAGCAATCCAGTTCCAGCACTAGAACACACACACAAATTCCACATTCTCAGTTTCAATTCACCACTGGGTAATCAAAAGAAAATCGTTGAACTGAATCAAGTGAGTTATGGAAATGAGAACCCAATGTCAAGGACGTGGCATGGCTCGGTGATGGTTTTCTCGATTGCAAGACGGAAAGCTCGGTTGCGGCGCGAATCGTTGAGCATGTCCAGATACGATGTCGTCGCGAGGAGGCCGTCCGTCGAAGTCTCTGGAGCTCCGGTTTGGTCATTCTCCTCGATGACAATCCACTCCGAATTTCCGGTGAGAGGGTCTTGCCTGAGCTGGAAGACGCGCTGACCCGGTTGAGAGCTCATGGTTCGAGCAGAGACGGACCTTAGGCGAGTCACTGAGCGACACCGGAAGGAGAGAAAAAGAACGAAGGTTTTGGGAACGAGAGACAGTGGCGACATTAACGGAGCTAAGGTTTTAGCCGCCGGGGTGACTCGCGTGAGAGAAATTAGGCCGTCTATTTATTTATTTGAGGTCCTATAGTTTTCTATTAATAGAAAATGGACACCATAGTTCTTAAAATTAAGCACAAGTAAAAATATCTCAAGTGTTGCCAAATCTATTAGGAAGCACAAAAGTTAAGGGGTTAACTCAGGAATACAAAATATATGTGGGGCTAAAACGGAAGTACTCGCACAAATTTTAAGTTGGAAAAGTTTTTGGCCCGGCCAACTTTTTCCATTTTCCAAACTTTGAAATCGAAATCCAGTTTTTGGAATTTGATCGGCGATTTGAAAACTCCGAAACGTAAAAATTTAGGGAGAAGAAATGGCGGGAGCGAATCAGGCGGCGTGTATTTTCTGCCAGATCGTGCGCAACCCCGCCTCCACTACATATCTCCTTCACACCGTACGTTCTTATCGTTCCCTCTTTTTCTCTCTGTTGTTTGTATCGCCAGAAAGAAAATTGAGATGAGAGAGGCTAATGGAAGAGTTTTTGGTTTTTTCAGGATGAAAAGGTCATCGCGTTTCAAGATATCAAGCCCGCCGCTCAGAGGTTTGTCTGTTCACTCGCTTTGCTTCTGTTGATTTCATTAGATCCCGTAAGCAAATTAGTGTTCATCATCGATGGATTCGTAATTCGTTTGGTTTATGGAGATGACGATGTAACGGAACATAATTGTGAAGCAAATATGAAATATCAATCCTTGGAATAAGTGTTGCTGGAAATGGTGGTTATTAATTTCTTCGGATACCGTTTTGCTTAGCTATCTAGTGTAATCACTTGCATCTCCTTAGCTGCGAATAACACTGATGTAGGCACTACTTGGTTATACCAAAAGAACACATTCCAACTGTGAGAGACCTCCAGAGAAGAGATGAAGACTACTCACTTGGTTGGTCAGCTAAACATAGATCCTACATCGTTTTTCTGTTATTACCTATGTAAAGGTTTTTAATAAGGATGTGAATTTTGTTGATTTGAGCAGTAAGTCACATGCTAAGTGTGGGACAAGAACTGTTGCAGAAAGATGCACCTCAAACCATACATAGGTGAGGCTTCTTGCTTAACAACACAACTATATTGGATGTTTTTGTATTTGCAAATGATGCTTGAAACTAAATATCCTCACTAATTGCTTGATGATTGCATTAATCTGATTTGTATATCCTCACAGATTTGGGTTTCACCAGCCACCTTTTAACAGTGTTGATCATCTCCATCTCCATTGCTTTGCATTACCTTTTACGCCCAGGTACGGATATGCTGTTCTTGCGAAATTCTTTGCATCTCTCTAACTTTATTGCTATGGCTTGAAACTGCAAATATGTTTGTTCTAAAATATCAAAACATTGACATCAAAACAGATGGAAAGCCATCAAGTACAAGTCTTTGGGACCTTTTGGTGGTTTTATTGAAGCACACACACTTCTGGACAAGCTAAGGCCCCACGGTTCGCTTCATTCAAAGGTGTAACTGAACTGACTTACATAACTTCATTGCGGTGCTTCTCCTTCGGTGGAATTGTGCTATATTCTCTTTTTTTCTATTCTTTTGCTGGCAAATCTGTCATAAAAAGCCAATTATTATTGTGGATTTTGTATGGGAGAAGGACAGTAAATTTTATGTAATTTCTGGCGCTGACCAATAGTTGTAGTTGTAGGCAGTGATCATTCTCGATGTTTGCCATGCATAATGGGTTTAAGATGATAGAAAATGAAGGACTCAGATATAATCTATGGAGTAACATGTAGACTTAACCAGAGATGTCATATAGTATCTCTGATATATGTGGGGCTTCTTGTGTTGTTTTGATGCTCTGACATCTATAAATGTTAAGGGGGGTACTGGTTGCAGTGCATGAGATTATTATCATCATCAGACTCCAGCTTAACCGGTGCAAATGTGTTCTTGCGACAACATCGTTATCCATATATCAGGTAATAAAGCTTGAATAAACTTGCACATTAGTAGTGTGACCTTTCTGTGTTCAGTTATGGAAATATTATATGTCATGCTAACAAATTTTTTTAGGAGGTATTAAGCCCTGTTTCACGGGAACAGTGGAGAGTGAAACCTCATAGCGCTCAAGTTTCTGACTATTGCTCGTTCTCCCTTTTCGTGGGGATCCTTAGGTGTCAATAGCGCAGATTAGATTTTGATGTTATCAAGACTGAAAAAATTTTGAGCTTATCTAAGTACTAGATGTCACTGAGACCAAATCTTCTCTGTCCACATGCAACTTGTGCAGGTAGATAGAAGTACAGCTTGCAGTTGCAGTGCATTAAGCTTCTTTAGCTGATATTGTGGCTACGGGACTACGGTTTCTAAGATAGGTATTTCAGATATCAACTACAAACAAAAGATTTGTTGTGGTAAGGAATCACTACAACTCAAGAATATGAGCTAACAAACAACAAAGCTTCTTAATGGTGCTATGTCTTCATTGATTGAAATTCTTGATTTGCAAAGGGTTTAGGCCCACAAATTATAAGCTGTTTGGATGGATTTACTGGTAATCCTCAACCACCACCCCTGTCAAATACCAACTCTTTGTTTGGACTCCTTTCTCTGTTTTCTAGTTAATAAATTCTGTACACGACACGTATAACATAACTTATTTTCCTGGAAATTTTTATTGGGTTGGTCCTGTCCTTGCATGTTTTTGTTTTTGTAATGCCTTTGAACAAAGTTGCAGGTGATCATGCTCTTCTAAAGCAGATTACTTTTACAATAAAATATCAATTTGTTTTGTTGATTGCCAATGATTATAGATGAAGAGGTTGGTAAGTTCGTCTTCTTCTCTGTTTGGTGGTACAACTCTTTGGTCTCATTATTTTGCTACCGTTGTGTCACCTTATGATACTACCTGTTTAAGTAGTTTAATTGGATTATATTTACAGATTAAGCACATGAAATGTATACAATTTATGGAAATAAGTGGTTATCTCATGTATTGACTAGCTTTTTTATTACATCAAATCTCTTAAAAACTTTTGTTTTATGGTGACACAAGAAAGCTAAAAAGCTAAAGCTGGCTCGTGTAGTCGTGTGAGTTGAGAGGAAAACAGCTCTGGCGAAGGAGACAGCAACGAGCCTTTTCTCCTTGGAGTGACGGCCAAAGATAATGATTTATTTCCAGAAAACTACAAAACTGCAATTAACGTCACTCTCAAGTCTCAACCCTCAGGTATGCCTTTGCTTCATTGGTGGCTTCGTCTCGTTTTTTGTTTTTTCGAGTACAGCTAATTTTAATTTTTCTTACATTAATAAATTTTTCTGAATCGCCTGTCTGTTAACAGCTGTATCCAAAAATTGAATTTAAAAAGTGTTTTTTTTTTTTAAATCTTTAAAAAAGAAAACAAAAAGAATCCATACTCTCTCTAATAGTCTAATTAGGAGATGACGAATCCATATCCAAAACATTGACACGGTTTCGTTTCGTTTTTCAAAATATCCAATACTTGCAAGTTTTTTTGTATGCTTATCCTGTAAATTACTTTTAGTATTTTTTATTTTATTTTTTAAAGACAAAGTATCGGCTTGTACCGGAGGAGGTTGGTGATTTTTATAGGTCCCTTGGTAGTAGGCCTTGTGTCGTCTAGCGATTCTCTACCTAATTTAGCTTCAATAAAAACTTAGCCACTACCATTTTTATTTATGTTTTTAATTGTTATCTATCTAGTATTAATAGTTAATCTTCTTTTATGATGATTGATTAGTTTAGACTTTAGAGACTTTGGAATATATGTTCATAAAAGTACTTCGTAATCAGTATACTTTGTTTGGGATAAACAATGCATCTCTTTTGGTAATCAATATTGGTATTCTAACAAGATATACTTTGTTTGGGATAAACAATGCATCTCTTTTGGTCATTTATCTTTCATAAATTAATATAATATTCTCTCTGTTTCATAATAAGTGTTATTTGGAAAAAATGTATCTGTATTATAACAGAATGTATTTGGATGTGTTTTGAGTTTAATACATCCAGATACATTGCAGATATATTTTCTTCAAATGACATTTATTATGAAACAGATGGAGTATGTGATTTCATCATTCATAAAACATGTATGGAATTATAAAGTTTGGCTGCATTATAGATTAATCAAACAGTCGATTACGGCGGTGTTAAATAGCTTTAGTCGACTTTAAATAGTTATATGTAAGTTGCAACTAGTTAGGCGGTCGGCTAATATTGCTTGGTTCGGTTCGATTAGATGTTTGATTTACAAATGAGCAAAGGATAAATGATCACCATATGAGTATGATAATTTGTTGATAAACATGTATCATTCTATATTGTATTAAAATTAGCAGTTTTAGAGTAAAAAAGATAGATAATGTAAAAATATAAAATTGTCAGGTGACAATACCGTACCTTTACCCCGTCCATGCCAATAATATCCCACCTGGCTTGTCTATGTGGCCTGGACACTATTTTCCCCTTCTTTTTACACAAAAACTATTTATGGTACTTTATGGTTTCAATTTTCAAGGCATTGATATTCATTTTGTATGTTCTCCGAGGGTGTGGATTGGATACGTTTATAGCCAGTTAAATGATTCATATTGAATTCGAATTTGAAAACTGATCAAGAGAAATGACGTAGATATATCTATATACTAATGAATAAATGTATGATTGCATGCAAACTCCACATCTCATCAATAGAGTTGACTTCCGATCAACAAGTTTCAGCATACGACAGCGTTTTTGTTATGTATTGGTTAGTTTCGTGTCAAAATCCAATGCTTTATTTAGGACTCTGCATGCCACGCTCATCAAGTCTTTTTCTTTTCAACTATCAATGAAAATGGTTGCTAAAACTAATTAATACTACTACTTATTTATTTTATTATTCGTCAACGTAATTGCCTTTTTGGTGTAAATTGTTTTCATAATAACCATATCATTAATTATTTATCTAGTGATCATTTCTCCTTGCTCTGTCCTATCTATATAAACATTCGACCTCTTCTTTAAATTCAAAAACCAGTTTCATTGGAGCCAGTTTTTAACTTATCCGCCATGAAAACTTGTTGTATCTTCTTCCTTTACTTGGCGATTTTCCAATACTGTTTCTACTTCTCTGTTTCATCATCACCTCTTCTTCTCCCTCTCTCACACTCTCTCTCAACCTCGAAACACTCTTCCTCTCCTCTCCACCTCCTCAAATCATCCTCCATCCGCTCCTCCGCACGCTTCCGCCGCCACCACAACCACCATAAACGCCAAAAACAACTTCCTCTCCCTCTCTCTTCCGGCAGCGATTACCTCCTCTCCCTCTCAGTCGGCTCCTCCTCCTCCGTCTCCCTCTACTTGGACACCGGCAGCGATCTCGTCTGGTTCCCTTGTCGTCCTTTCACCTGCATCCTCTGCGAATCCAAACCTCCTCCTACTCCCTCCTCTCTCTCCTCCTCCGCCACCACCGTCTCCTGCTCCTCCCCTTCTTGCTCGGGCGCGCACTCCTCCCTTCCCTCCTCCGACCTATGCGCCATCGCCAGGTGTCCTCTCGAGTTAATAGAAACCGGAGAATGCAACAATTCGTCCTACCCTTGCCCGCCTTTCTACTACGCTTACGGTGACGGCTCTCTCGTCGCACGGCTCTTCTCCGACTCGCTCTCTCTCCCTCCTGCCTCCGTCGCTAATTTCACCTTCGGCTGCGCCCACACCACTCTTGCCGAACCTATCGGCGTCGCTGGATTCGGCCGTGGACGCCTCTCTGTTCCCGCTCAGCTCGCCGCTTACTCCCCTCACCTCGGTAACAGCTTCTCTTACTGCCTCGTCTCTCACTCGTTCGACTCGGAACGAGTCCGCCGTCCGAGTCCACTCATCCTCGGCCGGTTCGTCGACGAGAAAGAGAAACGTGTGGGAACCGATGGTGGCGTTGACGAGGAGAAGATCGAATTCGTCTACACAGAGATGCTCGATAATCCCAAGCATCCTTACTTCTACTCTGTTTCTCTCCAAGGAATCTCAATCGGGAAACGGAATATTCCTGCTCCGTCGATGCTCAGACGAGTGGATAGAAACGGCGGAGGAGGAATTGTCGTCGATTCGGGGACGACGTTCACGATGCTTCCGGCGAAATTCTACAACTCGGTGGTGGAGGAATTCGACAGTCGGGTAGGGCGGTTTCACGAGCGGGCTGATCGGATCGAACCGAGTTCGGGCATGAGCCCTTGTTACTATCTGAATCAGACGGTTAGAGTTCCAGCTCTCGTTTTGCATTTTGCCGGCAACGGATCCAGTGTTACGCTACCCAGGAGAAATTACTTTCACGAATTTATGGACGGTGACGATGGTAAAGTAGTGAAGAGGAAAATCGGATGCTTTATGCTGATGAACGGCGGAGATGAATCGGAGCTTCAAGGTGGGGCCGGGGCAATCCTTGGTAATTACCAGCAACAAGGGTTCGAGGTGGTCTATGATCTCTTGAACAGAAAGGTCGGGTTTGCAAAGAGGAAGTGCGCATCTTATTGGGATACGCTGAACCAGGGCTAACATGCGCCTTAGCTAATCTCTCAGCATGAATCTTTAAAATAAGCCTAACATGCGCCACTCCGGTTCGATCGTTTGATCGGATGGGTTCATCATGGTCGTGGATGGGTCATATCGAACAGTAATTATGTAGTTGGGGAGTACGTAAAATAGATGTCGTAGGCTTAATAATTCGGTGACACCCTAAGGTCCAAAGTACATAGATGTGTATGACGTTTTATTTGTATAAATTCACGCTATTTGAATTTTTGACCTTTTAACTATATTGTGTTCTGATAAATAAAATAAAAAAAAAAGTATATTGTAAATACAGTTTTCAAATTGAAACCAAAACTGTAAAATATTACTTAATGTGGTCGACAACCATGAGAAACCTTTAAATGGTCATAACTACAGTATAATTTTGTTGGTTAGGCATCGCTTTTAAATTTAATTTGAGAGCCAATTTATTAGATTTACACCAAATAGGACAGGTTTACACGGAGTACAAATTAAGAGGCTGGAACCAAAATTTCTAAGACGTTACTAATGTCGGCGATTAAAATAGTTCATATTCATGAAACCAAAAAAATTCTAAGATGTTTAATAATAATAAACGATGTCGGCGATCATAGTTCATATTAATAAAACCAAAGTTTACTTGGCAACCAATACTAGAGCTACAAGTGTTTATAATTATTTGTGTTATTGCATAAGTCCATATCACAGTCTCGACTATTGACGTTTATAACAAGGAAAAAGTAATGAGCGACCCATCAATTAGTTAGCATAATATCACTATTTTGCTATAAGAGAGGAGGCTTTGACAGTCACTTATTATGACCATGACTCTAGAACTAGACAACGACTATTTTGTCTCTAAAAATAAGACAACAAAGCATCTTTTTAAAGTTTTAACTAGAGTGGGATATTTAGATATTCGACCGCGGATAAAGTTAATAGATTTGTAGTTCAGAAGAAATTCGCATAAAGCAATTTAGTTTTAATGCTTGTGCTAGCATTTTTGTGTGTGTGTGTGTTCAAATGCTTGTGCTAGCATAAAATAAAAGATTAATTTAGTATTAGTTAAATCTTTGAAAAAATGAAAGTAGTATATATATTTCTGGTGTCTTAAGTATTCAGACTGAATGATGACAATTCGCCTATTTGAATTACACATAAATATAAACTACTCACTCTGCTATAAGAATATGAATATCCTAATTTCGGGTATGACTTGACAACATCTGTAGAGGAAATATATATAGTAGCAGAGTATATTACTTTAGTTGATGTTAAAAAAGAAAAGAAAAGATAGATTGCTTTAGTTTTCGTGTTATTTGTCCCGTTATAAAAACGTGGAAAATGATATAAAGAATAAGACTAGTTTATCAATCCTCTTATTACTATTTTTTTCTCTTCTAACTTCAATTCCTCTCAAAACTCAATTCACTTTTTATATATATTGGATCCACATACCATATGTCCCACAGTTACATTCCATGCCTTAAAATGATTTGTTCACTATGATATGTTTGGTAAATGTAGTCTCCCACATCCTGACATCAAAGATATATGTTTTGGTAAATTAAGTCCACATCAAAGATATATATGTGTCTTTTGCTTTATTAGCTGATATACCACGCTTAAAAATAGATGTCACAAAACCAAAACAATTAATAATATCTTAATCCAATCACAAATTACATATGAAAAGAAATTTGTCACGCTTAAAAAATAGACGTCTCAAAACCAAAACAATTAACAATATCTTAATCCAATCACAAAGAACATATGAAAAGAAATTTGACACTTAAATAACAATTGAAGAATAACTGATGTGAAAATACTTTTGCGAGAAATACACGATTTAAAAATACTCTCCTGACCCACAAAAAAAAGGTGATATCGTTTTCGTGAAATCAGAGACTTCCAATACGTTTTCTTTCTTTCTTTTCATTGGATAACCACTTAACCACGTCCCTCACGTTTTTTCAAAAAACTTTTTTTTTCATTGTCTTTGTTAATTTTAAGTTTTTAACGATACTTACTTGTTATATAATAATGTACGCTTCTTAAAGCCCGTCAATGATTTATCCACTACACATAGAAAACAAAATTGTATCTCGAACAAACCCATGCACTGGACCGCAAAAGGAATTTGTCAATTGTATCATCACGCATCCCCAAATTTATCCAAAGCTCAAGGTTTCTATATTTCTTTTGTCAATAAAGCTCAAGGATTCTAAAGATCGCGGAAAATTTGCTCGTCGTAATCGAGGATGGCCATTGTACCATATCATAGGTTTTACCGACAAATTAACACTATAAATTTGTTATACCCAGATTATAGGCATAACTAATGCAAGTAAACATAATTCAGTCACTAGATTTTTTTTGTTATTTCAGTAGAGATAAATATTATTGAAATGATTTTTTTTTATGACAATTTTAATGGTCTTAAAACGCTTTGAAATGTCCAAATCTTTTCTTGGCAAATTATGTTACCAAGATTCAAGACAGTACAAAGAAGCATCACCTAAATTTATTTGCGAAGTGGGCTTACATCCAACATATTGGCCCGTTTAAATCCAACGGTGATGCATGCATAGCCGTACGTGCAAATGCATAGGTAAAAAAATCATTTCTATATGCATGAGCTGCAATCTTGGTTTTAACTTTTTAATATTCTACTTTTTACATTTTAACATTCTACTTCATCTTTTTTCTCTTCCATCTAATTATTCAATATTCATTTAATTTCCTTAATTCTACAATGATATTATTTAATAAAATTTAAAATTATACTTTACTATTTTTATTTCATATTTTTTAACTTTAATTTTTTTTTATATATCCAAATTAGATGAAACAAGTTTCCAATTACAAAGTATCAAAATATGAGATGAGTTAGTCAAGGGCCATCAAAGACACAAAGCTGGCGAATATTCATAAAAGCGGAAGATATCAAAGGTATATATAAGTAAGGTTCATAAATTTTGATTAAATAATAATAATAAAATAATTTACTATAAGACAATTGATTTTAAATATTTAAAATGAATAAAGTATTCATAATTTAAACAACCACTGATAATATATCATATGTCATTGTCTCTCTCTTTTAAGTACTAATGTGTTGAAAAGATTCAACACAACTGAATCTATATCATATTAAACACTCTTATCAATATTTTCATATATTAATTTAAGTATTTAAGAGTTGAATTTTATTTTCAATATTCTCATTGTATATATATAGTTTTAACTAAAGTACAGCTTCATCAGAATGTTCTTTATTAGAGAAAGCTTCTTTTAGACAGCAATAGAAAGCTTATTTTTCACTTAAATCATAGAAGTGGAAAAACTGTTATAATACAGAAAATTTGCCACATATGCAATTATTCAAATAAATTGAATTTCTCCATGGATTAATATATATATATATATATAAGACGTCTACATAGACCATTAGATATAAAACAGTCCACCAAATTCTTAGATTTCTACCTGAATTGTTTTTCCAATTACAATGAGGAGGGAAATTAAATTCTCATATTGTTTATGCTCATATCATATCATTTGGCACCATGAAGTAATAGAACCAATTAAAAAAAAAACAAGTTACAAAAATAGTTTATTACTCACTTGGAGATTAGGAAAAGCTAAACTCACACCTGCTTCCCAGTTGAAAATTCCATTTTCATCGAGTTCGTCACTGTAACCCACCAAAGAGTTCAGATATTTTAAAGTATCTCTATTAAGGGGTTTTCACATAATAATTTGCTCTAAACTATTCAATAATGTGCAATGTTCGCCCAAAATAAAATTTTTGAACTTTTGACATATTGCTAATATAAATATAAAAATGTATCATTTAAATAGATTTACCTTCTTTTTTGAAAATTATAAAAAAGTAAATAACAAAATAGATAAAGAATATTAAAAGAAAAGAAAAAAATAAACATTATATTTATAACTAATCAAAGAAAAATAATGATAATAAACTAGGATGTAAAAACATTACATTCTGAATCTTATTTTTATTTTCATAGATAATTTGATTTTTTTCTTCTTTTTTCACAAACTATAAAATATGAAATTATAAACTAGCATACTCTAGTATACTTATGTAACATTGTAAGTTTATGCTCCCAAGATTCGAGACCGTACTAAGAAGCATCACCTAAATTAATTAGCGAATTTACATCCGATATATGGGCCTGTTCAAATCCATCCGATATAAAAACATTTATATATGCATAAGTAGCATTCATCTAGGCATTGTAAATATAAAGCTGCAATGTTACTAATTTTAGCCAAAGAACAACTTTAGTTTCTATCTTTATCGAAACTCAGACCTTTAAAAAAAAAAAAAAAACTCAGACCTTTTCCAGTACGGAACACAATTGAATACTATATAGTTATTGTAAATAAAAATGATTTTTTCATCTCAGTGACGCGTATTAAAGAAACGTTTACAAATACAAAAATGACACGTGTCAAAAGGGGGGGAGGGTTTGTCGTTTTTCACCAGACACCTCTCCGTACTCTTCTTCGATAAATCTCTATAAAGTATAAACCCCAAAGATGAGAGAGAGAGAGAGAGAGAGAGAGAGAGAGAGAGAGAGAGAGAGAGAGAGAGAGAGAGAGAGCTCCAGAACCAAAACACAAAACCACTAAAAGCCTGAAGACGTATAATCATGTCGATCATGAACATCCTTCCCGTTCCTCAATCCCACGGTATTTTCGAACCATATGATTAATAAATTCATCATTTCTGAAAATCTTTACTAATGTTGAATGATGATATATACGTATGTGAGCAGATGGGTCGTTTTATGCAACGAACAACCCGTATCAGTTGAATGGTCCAAGAGGGTTTTCGGAGTTCAGGATGATGGAAGAGAACGAAGATCTGTTCGTGAGGTTAGATTTCCCAGGAATCACGAAAGAGAGTATCAAGATCCTTGTCGAGCCATTGAAGAAGGCTGTTTTCGTGTTCGGAGACGCACCCAAGGAGCTCAATCACGATTCTTCTCACCGGAAATATGGAACCGCCACGGGTCTTGTCTGTGATTGCTGTGAACTAAGCAACATTCAATGTTTTGTTGGAGACGGTGTCGTGAGGCTCATTCTTTCCAAGAAGAAGATCAATCTTCACGTCCCTTCCTCATGTTACTGTAACTCAATATCTCTAACTAATTCCATTTTTGTTTTTGTTTTCTGTTGTGTGAATTATTAACTATGAGATGTTTTTATTGTTTTTGTATTTTCAGTTGGAGGTGCCATAGTGCCTATCACTCCCCCTCACTTTGGTATGTCTCTTTTGCGTTTAATCTTAGTTTTACATTCATCATTTATTAATCATGTGTATGTGTGTGTTAATCTTGCGAATTTTGAAACTTTTTTATCTTTCGGCAGCTCACATAATATATGGCTATAACCCACAAGGTATTAGAACTTTTATGTGTGTTTCTTGTATTATTTTTCGGTAAACTATTAAGATATGTCTTATCAAGAGGACTTCTTTGGGAAATAGTCTTAATTATCTATCTTATGTAGTATATCTGACATTTTTCCTGGTATGTGTTGATTCACCTGTTGCAGCTGCAGGTGGCCATCCTCTTGGTATGTATTCCAACGTTTGACTTGCTCTTTTACATTTTTCTTTTATCTTTTCATTTCTACTTTATTCTTTAATTTGGCAGCTCATCTTCGTGGACAAAACCTAGAAGGTATTTTGATTTATAAATTTTTAAATTTATTATTACAACTTGCTATTTCTAAAGGTAATGCAATTCTCTTGGGTTAGTTAATTAATTTCGTTAATTGTTTGATTGTTTCATCGTAGGTCGCCGTGCCACTGACCCACTCGGTATGCACTTTAATTATAATCTCTCCGTTGTGACATAATTTTCAATATTTTTAGTAATTAATGTCATTACAGTACTAATTATCACGTGCATGCGCTTTGTCTAGTATATCAATTGCACTATATTGAACGAATTGACCATATATTGTATATATTATACTGATGGAATCTTTTTGTGTTTAACGTTGGATTAGATCCGACGTTAACGGGTCGGGTCATACAGCCGCATCCGTCAGTGTTGGAGGGACCCACGAGTGCGTACGAGTTTAAGCAGCTCCAAAACGGTGGTTTGTTTCTGCGTATAGACATGCCCGGTGTCCCTCACGACAACTTCACGGTGTCTATTGAAGGCGACGGCACCGTCACCGTCATCGGACGAGCCCCTCCGGTGTTGTTCGACTCGAGTGGGCGTGAGTACGGAGGAAAGGTCGCCATCCTCCCTAGAAACTATGACAGCCGTCGGATCAAAACAATCGCCAAGCACGGTGTCATCCGCCTCATCATCCCTGCTTACTAATTTCAGTGCATCTTCATGTTTTTGGCATTATTCATATCTGCTTTTGGATTTTCGAATATTTTATCAACATTAATTAAGACGTTCATCTAAATTAATATGTACGTAGGTAGGATAATAGCGCCCGAAAGTTGATTCAAAATGCGAAGGAAATTAAAATGATCCTATTTTCTATATGTTATATTTCGATATTCAATTTTAAGGAGAAAAAAATAGAAATAATACAAAATGGTGAAGACTGGTTTAAGATTTATTTACTCAAAGTCACAGTAAATATATTATACACACAACTCTTGACAAGTGGCTCTCCCATCTCTTGGCAAGTAAACTTTTTTAGTTTTCACATTATCCGTACTCGAGAAAACAAGACTGTTTTAATTATTTATTTTGCTGTGTTGCATTAGTTATCTGCATCGATCTTCTAACACAGTAAAAAATAATAATCTACCATGGGCCAATTTCACAATGAAGCTAACGTCAGCGTGCAACCTTTTTTAACTGTATAAAGTGTCATAATTTTGTATCTTCAAATCAATATTAAACGTAAAAAACAAAGTAAAGAAAGAGGAATTGAAAACCGTATATAAATGTGTATTTATGTGCCCGAAACATACATATAGTGCTTGTACTATAAAGCTGCATACTTGCTAATTGTATCCAAAGACCAACTTATTAATTTCTGTCGTGATACACAAATACGGACATTTGAAAATTATACGTACATAAGTACTATAGACTGTGTATATATTTTAATGGTAGATAAAAGAATATCTCTTGTCTCAATAATTCATTAATCAATATTGTTGGCAAATACAAGTTCGACACGCGTCCAGCAGTACACTCGCAAATGCAGAAGCCACGCGTGTCACAAGAGGGAGAAGTAAGATTGTCGTTTTCAGTCGACACCTCCATACTCTAAAAACCAGAGAGAGAAAGAGAAAGAGAAAGAGAAATCTCTGACAGAAGAAAACAACAAAACTCTGAAACCCCAAGAAAACCTCTGAAATACTCAGCCGCCTAATCATGCCGCCGGTCACACACATGGGTCCCGTCCCTCAACACCAAGGTACTCTTTATAGAAAATCGAAACCCATATATCGATCGTACTGATTTATTTATCATTTCTTAAACTCGTTAATGTCGACGAGTGATGAACTGATGATACTGTATTTTTGTTGTGAGCAGATGTCTTCTATGCAACAAACAATCCATACCTGGTGAACGGACCGAGAGGGTTCACTGAGTTCAGGTTTATGGAGGAGACCACCGATCTTTTTGTGAGGCTTGATTTTCCGGGAGTCACCAAAGAGAGTGTCAACATCCTCCTCGAGCCATCGATGAAGGCCGTTTTCGTGCTCGGAGACGCACCGAAAGAACACATACACGATTCTTCTCACCGGAAATACGGAACCGCCACCGGACTTGTCTGCGACTGCTGTGAGATAAGCAACATTCAGTGTTTTGTCGGAGATGGTGTTGTCAGGCTCATTCTTTCCAAGAGGAAGATCAACTTCCATGTCCCTTTCTCGTGTCCCTGTGAGTTTCTCGATTTGATTTTTCAACATTCATTATTTTTTTTTTGTAAATCAGTTTCTCACATTTTATCCCAAATATAATAATTATTCTGACATTTATTTTGTTTTGTTTTGTCTCAGTTGAAATGCCTACTGCTGCCTCCCCTTTCCTTGGTAAGTTTTTTTAATTAATTCCATTTGACTAAAAAATTTGTTTAGCGTTTATTTAATTTGTCTGTTTTGTGATTAATATTAAAACTCTTTTTTCTTCTTTTGCCAGCTCACGTAATTCGTGGGTATCATCCGGAAGGTATGTGATTTTATGTTTTATTCTTTTTTTTTATATAATGGGTATATATATAAACAAGTCAGATCATATCATTTGAGCTTATTTTAGAAGTTAATTATAGTTATCCCATGCATAGTATTGTATAGAAGTATATATCTGACATTTTTTTTATAATGGGTATATATATAAACAAGTCAGATCTTATCATTTGAGCTTATTTTAGAAATTAATTATAGCTATCCCATGCATAGTATTGTATAGAAGTATATATCTGACATTTTTTCCCTGGGATGTGTGTGTTTCTGTTGTTGCAGTCGCAGGTGCCCATCCTCTTGGTATGTTTAAATATTGTTAACGTTTGACTTACTCTTTTACATTTTTCTTTAATCCTCAACGTGTATTTTAAATCTTCTATGTTTTATTCTTCGATTTTGCAGCTCATCTTCGTGGACATAGCCCAGAAGGTAATTATAGCGTCAATTGAACATGAATTTTACAAAAAGTCTCTTGGGTTAATTAGTAATCTAACTTGATCAATTGTTTGATTATTGTTTCATCGTATATATATAGGTTGCCGTGGCACTGACCCACTCGGTATGCACTTTATCCCTCCCTTGTGACATAATTTCAAGCACATGTCTTTAAATAGTATCTGTATTTATAGTATATAATATATGTATGTACTACATACATTAGTTTATATCACATGATTCACACTCACACACATGCATGAATCCATGCTTGTCTCGTAAAACTCGTGTTACATTTCTTGAGCATATACTTCATTTTCATAGAGACTCGGGTATTGATTGATTACGATGTTTTGTGCTTAAAAACACTGGACAGATCCGGCGTTCACGGGTCGGGTCACAATACCACACCCGTCAGTGTTGGAGGGACCCACGAGTGCGTACGAGTCAAAGCAGCTCCCAAACGGCGGTCTCTTTCTGCGTATTGACATGCCGGGAGTTCCCAAAGACAACTTCAGTGTGGCGGTGGACAGCGACGGTGGCGTCACTGTCATCGGACGAGCACCTCCGGCCATGTGCGACTCGAGTGGGCGTGAGTACATAGGCAAGGTCGCCGTCGTCCCTCGAGACTTTGACAACAGTCGGATCAAAGTAATCGCTAAACATGGTGTCATCCGCCTCATTATCCTCTAATCAATATTCACCTCTTCTGCTTGCGAATCGTTATGTTTAACAATGGACGGTCTTTTAATTATGTCATTGCTTTTGGGGATTTCGGATATTCTCAAAAAAAATATGGTATTATCGTATTTAAGATGTTTGTTTAAATTTAAACTAAAGTGTTTATGTTCACACGTATGTAGGTGTATATAGAACCTTATTATCACATAGTAATTATGCTAAGTTACTAAAGAATTGTATAATGAGAAAATTCATTTTGATAAATTTAGTTACACAAATTCACGTCGTTGTAAACTATTTAACTAATAAATGTAAAGAAACAAAAACAAAGAAAATTGATAGGCAAATGAAATGACGACGCGTGTCTCGTACGGGTGCATGCGCAGTGTCACAAATGCAAAAGAGGCACTTGTCCCCTATGGTTTTGTCGTCTTCGCCAGACAACTCAGTTCTTCCCTCCTCGTTGCCTTCTCTTCCCTCCGCCCATAAAAATCCAAAGATTCATAAATGCTAAAAGAAATGCCAGAGAGAGATTTATAAGAGAGACAGAGAGGAAACCCTAGTAATCAACCAGTTACCCAAGAAACCAGAAATCTCACAGAAAACCTCTCTCCGTCGTCGAATCATGGTGAACCCTCTTTACGCAGTCCCTCCATCTCGCGGTAACATCTCCTAAACCAACCGTAAAATCTCAATAAATATCCTCAGATTTCTCAAATGGGTCGCTGATTTAATTTTGCTTTCATCTTTTCATTTTTTTTGTTATGTGTTGGAGCAGAAGGGTTTTACGCGATAAACAACCAGTTTCTGGTGAATGGACCAAAAGGGTTCACGGAGTTCAAGATGCTTGAGAACGAGGACATGTTCGTGAGGATGGATCTTCCCGGTGTTCCCATAGACGCCGTGGAAGTCTCACTTTGTGAGTCGAATAAAGGCGTCTTGATCTTGGCCGAAGCACCAAAGGAGCACAAACACGACTCGTCTCACCGGAAATACGTCACCATAACCGGCCTTGTCTGCAAATGCTGCGAAATCTCCGGCTTCACTTCCCACATGTGCGACGGCGTTCTCAGGCTTCTCCTCTGCAAGAAAAACGTCACTCCACAACACGCTTCCTCCCTCGGTCCTAATTTCAAATCCCTTTAATTTTCTCTTAATTTTATTTTTTTTTGTTCTTCGTCCTCTTCGTTCATATAAAAACTGAATTTTTGTTTGTTTGTTTGGTTTACAGCTTTTCTTGCTGGCCCAGGTTACCCACAAGGTAATATTCTATTCGATCTGCCCATATTCACATTTAAAGTTCAACCAAAAGAATAAAAGTCTTTTTCATTTGCATACTTTTGAAAATTGTTTACTTAAAACGTTTGTCTTCTCTATTTATGGTCAAAGATCTTCGTAGCCCGGTTCCTAATCCCAAGTCTCCCAATAGCACGAATCCCCACAAGTTTCCCCACGGCACTGATCCCAATGGTATTCATTCAACTCTCCAAGCTTATGTTAAAGTTATACTCTTATCGGTTAAGTTTTTGCTGATGTGATTTATATCATGTGTGGGTGGAGCAGATCCGGCGTTAACGGGTCGGATATTGGAGCCACACCCATGTGTGTTACAAGGATCGATGATGGCCTATGAGTCGAAGCAGCTCCAAAACGGCAGCCTGTACGTGCGTGTGGACTTGCCTGGCGTTCCCAAGGACAGGTTCACGGTCTCCGTTACGAATGGGAGAGTGAAAGTGACTGGTCAAGCCCCTGCCGTTAGCCACGACTCTGGTGGCCGTTTCTACTCTGGTGACGTGGCTATGCTATCCACTCCCATCGATATTCCCAGCCGTCGGATCAAAACCATCGCCAAGAACGGTGTGTTTCGCATGATCATCCCTCCCGTTTGATATTTTTTATTTAAGAAACCTATGCTTTCGGTTTGTTTGATTTCGTCTTGTGTGGACCTCTCTGGTTTCGGGATTATGTCGTTTCGTGTTTCATCAGTACTTAATTTTGGATATGTTCTGAAACGACACACATTTTAGGACCCTTTTTATGAGTCAGTCTATCTAAACTATTTTCATTCTCCAATGATTCGCAAAATATTTTTTACATAACTCTTGTTAAGAATCATACTTTAAAACTATGAACTACAGTATGATCAATTTTTCAACGGGGACATGTATATAACTTTTAAAGGACTAAAACAAAATTTCACTTCTTATTCTTTCCAGTTTTATTATATCTGTTGAAAATGTTAAAGCATCTATACATACACTTGTCGATAACTGACAAAAGGAATTTTGAATTTTAAAACCATCTTTGATCAATCTCTGCAACAAGTCTACTTTTATTTTTCAACCTTTGTCATTTTTAATCACCGCCTCCATGATTTTGACAAACTTATCTGAGTATTCATTTATATATATTTACTCTGTTATTCTTCTGAACAAAAGGTTGTTGTGTCTATTCAAGTTCGAAACAATTACTTCAGCTACCGAAAACAGTTATCCAACTCAATATCGGAACAAAGTTAATTAATTAATCGACATTAACCACATAGCTGTGATTTCAAGTTCCAAATGCTCAATTAGTTAATTACTTAATAAACTAAGCTTGTTTAAGTCTAGTAAATGACAAATTAGATATGTATGCAATAAACCAAACAACACTATGGATATAAGAAAACAATCACTACATAACGTTCACAAATACTCATGGGTATTAAGTACATTTTGACAAACTGATAAGTATGTATACTTTATTTCTGCTACTAAAATAGAAACGAAACCTAAATTAAAGAAGCGTGAGAAGATGGTTTCAGAAATAAGAAGAGTTAATTATCTGTAAGCATTTGAAACCATTAAAAATTGTTACGTCATTGAATAAAAGCTATTCTTAATTAAGACCCCAATATATGTTAATTAAATTCATGTTATCGTGAAACAATAAACATCACCTAAATTAGGTACTGAAGTGTGTGCAACTACATCCAATATATAATTTTCAAAAAAAAAAAAAACTACATCCAATATATGAGCTGATTTAGTCCCAACGATGTCGCATATATAACCTTTACGTACAAATGCTAATTATTTATACGTATTTAAACGCTGCTTTAAGTATATATATATACAAACGAATAATAGAAAGAGACAAATGAAAAACGTATATATATACACACTATATGGCTGAAGGCTGAAGCATGCAAGCGGTGCGTACAAATACAATAAATAAAGCTGAAACAGAAAACTTACTAATTTTTGCCAAGGACCAACTTTTTTTTTACTGTCTTATAAAATGAAAAAGCTCTGACGTTTTCAGAACGAAACGAACAATAAGTATATAAGTTGATATTGTTGATATAAGTATAAATTTGACAATTTTCGTCTGATTGATATTGCTGGCCAAAAAATAAAATAAAATTGAACACGCATCCTAAACACCAAACAGTATCTTGCAGAATACTCACAAATGCAAAAACGACACGTGTCACAAGAGGGATTGTTTGTCCTTTTCACCTGACAACCTCCTCCATACTCTCCCTCTCCTTTCATTCATTCGTTTAGAGCTTAGAAATCTCGAAAACCAGAGGAGAGAGAGAGAGAGATAAAGATGGAGAGAAAAAGAGAGACATCTGAAAAAGAAAAAACCCTAAAATCCTCAGCCGCCATAACTATGCCGGTCATGAAAATCTGTCCCGTCCCTCAATATCACGGTACATTCAAAGTTCAAACCCAGTTTTACTCCATCATTTGTTCAAACTCTTTGTCGTCGATTGATGTTTTTCACATAATCTCTCTGTGTGCAGATGGGTTTTACGCAGCCAATAATCCGTATCAGGTGAACGGGCCAAAAGGTTTCACGGAGTTCAGGTTGATGAAGAACGATGATCTGTTCGTGAGGCTTGACTTCCCTGGAGTGGCGGAAGAGAGTGTCACAATCGGTCTCGAGCCGTCGAAGAAGGCCGTTTACGTGTTCGGAGTCGCACCCAAAGAACTCAGATTCGATTATTCTCACCGGAAATACGGAGCCGTCACGGGACTTGTCTGCGACTGCTGTGAAATCAGTAACATTCAGTGTTTTGTCGGAGATGGAGTTGTCAGGCTTATCCTCTCCAAGAAGAAGATCCATCTTCATGTCCCTTCATCAAGTCTCTGTAACTTTTCTCGAATCATAATTTAATTAGTTATTTTATTTTATTTCTGTAAATTAATTTGCTTCTGACATTTTGTTTGTATTGTCTCAGCTGAAGGTGCCACAATGCCTACTGATGCTCCTTTTCTAGGTACGTACGTCTCTTAGCTTCATGTTTAATTAATAATCAAATCTTTGGATAAATTAGTTATTTTTAACCCCGAAGGTATTAGATTTGATTATTCATTAAACTAGCTTTAAGAAACCTTCACAAAAGTCAGACGTTAATTAACTAATTTCCTTAATTTTTATTGTTAAAATCGCAGGTCGCGTTGACACTGACCCTCTCCGTATGTACTCCATTCTGACATAAACAGTATTAATTAGACATATTATATTATATTGATCGAATGTTTATATGTGATTAACGTTGGACAGATCCGGCGTTTACGAGGCCGGCCACAGTACGACAACGACAAAACCCGTTATTGTTGGAGGGACCCAAGACTGCGTACCAATCAAAGAAGCTCCGTAACGGCGGTCTGTTTCTGCGTATTGACATGCCTGGCGTCCCCGTCGACAACTTCACGGTGGTGGTGGATGGCGATGGAGTCGTCACTGTCGTCGGTCGAGCTCCTCCGGCGGTGTATGATTCGAGCGGGCGTGAGTACAGAGGCAAAGTCGCCGTCGTCCCTCCAAACTATGACGACCGTCGGATCAAAGTAATCGCTACACATGGTGTCATCCGCCTTACGATCCCTCCTTTCTAATTTTATCACCATCTTTCATGTTTTTGGAAATTACTACTATGTTTAGGAATACAATATTAATGGACTGTTTTTTGAATGTCTTTTCTTTTGGGTTTCGAATATTTTCATAATGAAATGGATTTTAAATACGTACGTAATTATATTTTCATTCGAATTAACATGTTTTTATATCACACGTGAGGCTTGTGTAGTTTGAGTACATAGCACCAAATATTAATGTCGATAAATATAACAAACAAAGTCCATATCAAAAAGGATTAGTTTCAAATTACACATGATTGATTTAACGTCGTACGTAATAAAAAAAGAAAATTGATTTTACTGAGAGGACGCGACGCGTGTTTAAGTATTGGTGCATGCGCATGTCACAAATGCAAAAGAGACACGTGTCTCCCTCTATTATTTGTCGTTTTCACCTGACAACTCAGTTCTTCTTCCCTCTTTGTTGTCTTCTCTGCCCCCATAAAGATCCAAAATTCCTTAAATGCTAAAACCCAAAGAGTGAGAGAGAGAGAGAGAAAGAGATTTACAAAGGAGTATAAACCCTAAAAAAGTGCTTTTGAAATCCAGAAATCTTCTCTCCGCCACTGAATAATCATGGTTGTTCCTCTTAGTTCTGTCCCTCCATCTCGCAGTAAGATTTTTCAAATCTCATTCACATTTTCCATTTTGATACGTTTCTTCTCAAATTGGTTTGATTATGTTTGTTTCTGTGTTGAATGTTGATGGATGCAGATGGGTTTTACGCAATCAACAACCAGTTTCTGGCGAATGGGCCAAAAGGGTTCACGGAGTTCAAGATGCTTGAGAACGAGGACATGTACATTCGCATGGACTTTCCCGGTGTTCCGGAAAAAGGCGTGAGGGTTATGGTTGATCCGACGAAGAAAGCTGTGTCTATCTGCGCCGACGCACCAATGGAGCACGAACACGACTCATCTCATCGGAACTACGGCTCCACTACAGGGCTCGCCTGCAAATGCTGCGAAATCTCCGCCGTCTTCGCCCACATGTCCGACGGTGTTCTCAGGCTTCTTCTCACCAAGAAACATAGCACTAAGCAAATCCCTTCCTGCATCTGTAATTAAATATTTTCCCCTTTTTTTTTGTTCTTTCGGTTATTTAATAATATAGGGGAGATCTGTTTCACTTTTCTGATATAAATTAATAAAAATTTAAATTTATTTTTCTTCACAGCGTTTCTTGCTAGCCCAGATTCCGAAGAAGGTACTCGATCTTTGATTTTATCTTTTCTACAAGTCTTTTTCATCACAAACTTTTCAATATTAGTTTACTTAAAATGTTTTTGTTCTTCTTGCAATTTGTGGTCAAAGGTCGCTATGGCACGGGTCCTCAAAAATTTCCCCATGGCACGGATCCTCATGGTAATCGCATACTTTTCTCGTTCTGCAAGCTTTATGTTATGCAAAATCAATTTTTTAATTATTAGTATTGTATAGACACGTTTATATAGTAGTGAGTTTGATTTTGTAAAAGGGAAAAATTAATTTTGTTGTTGTGTTACTGTATGTGGGAGAGCAGAGCCGGCGTTAACGGGTCGGGTATTGCAGCCACACCCATGCGTGAACCAAGGACCGGATTTGGCTTACGAGTCAAAGCAGCTCGAAAACGGCAGCCTCTACGTGCGTGTGGACATGCCAGGCGTTCCCAAAGACAGGTTCACTGTCTCCGGTACGAATGGGATAGTGATGGTGACTGGTGAAGCTCCTGCGGTTAGCCACGACTCTGGTGGTCGATTCTACTCTGGTGACGTGGCTATGCTAGCCTCTCCTATCGACATTCCCAGCCATCGGATCAAAACCATCGCCAAGAACGGTGTGATTCGTTTGATCATCCCTCCCTTTTAGTTTGGTGATAAAATGATTTGAAAAACAATGTTTAGGTTTCTTAATATCATCTTGTGGACTTCTTGATTGTGTCTTTTTTGTGTTGTTATCGACTTTGGATGTGTTCCAATTCCAAAAGGACACGTAACTTATTTTGTCTAATATTTAGGGGAGGTTTTCAGACTATTAATTATGGATCAATCTTTTTAATTGCAAAGTATATATGATCTATTTTAAAGGGGACGAAACATAATTGCTTTTGAGCAAGGAAGCAATAAAAGAACTCCTATGATCAACAAATCTTTACGTAATCATATATTATTTCCACTTTTATATGCTGAAACATCTTATCTATACACACTTATCGATAAATGACGTCAAAAGGGGCTTATGAAATTTGAATCTCTGTAACAAGTCTTTCTTTTTTCATCTTTGTGATTTTAATCACCGCCTGCAGGATTTTTACAAACTTACCTTTTGAGTATTCAATTAAATGTATACCATTCTTCTTCTGCCATGATGGCAAAAGTTTGATGTGCCTATTCAAGTTGAAACCAATAAGGTTTTAGCTACCAAACCAGTTCTCTAACTCAATGTTGAGACCACGTTAATTAATTAATATTAACCACAAAGCTTCTAGGGTCAAAATACTCATAGACCACTACTAATAAATAGATACTACTATCATCTTCCAGTCTATTGAATTGCAAAAAGATAATGTCTGAACAACACTTAAGTTTTAACTCGTGACTATTAAATTAACAATAAAAATGAATAAGAATAAGAATGAGATGAACAAAATAATAGGAATTATTGTTCCTTTTCAATTTTCAATTTTGATAGAGAAAAAATTAACATTATAATTCCCTAAAATATAAGGAATGAAAAAGAATCATGGGTACAATATATTTCTAATAACATTAGTATTCCTTGTCATTCCTTTGGTCACCAATTTCATTCCTCAAGAAAAACCTTAGAAGCATGAATACAGTTCAGCCGAAAACACCAGTTGGGGCATAAACCATTAGATTTATTCGGTAAAATGAGAGACTCGACAAATCCAATAACACTCGATTTCAATTACTCATGAAGAAGAAGCATATACAAAACAACATATTTTATCAGACTGTGTGTGCAGTAATTTAACAAAAGACATCATTTGAGGCATAATTGAAATGTTCAAGATTTAAAAGCGAGAGTCTGATCAAATCAAGAACTCTCTAGTTAACTCCACATGAAATCGTAGAAACAACATATCTTTTTTTCTTTAGAGAACCTTGAGCCCACGGCTCCAACCTGTGTTGCTATGACCTGAAACAAAATTATGCTCAGACTCGGAGAAGACAAAGCTAAGACTTGAAAACACCAAACGAAGCTAACTCTTATGCACTGCCACTGACAAGGATATGATCTACATAGCTACAGAAAGGGGACACCAAATTTTAAGCAATAACAAAGGATTCTACCAACAGACTCACTACACATACTTTCCACTTATCTATCTGTTGAAACATCTATACACACATATCGATAGATAACAAAATGACTTTAAAACGTGAAACTACCTTTGAATCTCTGCATCACAAGTCCTGTTTCGTCTTCTTTGTGATCCTTGTGATTTAATCACCGCCTGCAGGATATACACAAACAAATTTGAGCATTCACTTATACGTTTCTTCTCATAAAAAGTTTAGTGTGCCTAGGAACCAATGAGATTTCAGCTACCAAAAGACTTCTCTATACTTCAAATTAAAGTAGTAACAACTTCAGGGTCTAAATGATACAACCATGGTTCTCTATACTTCAAATTATGCTAAAGTCTAGGAACTGAAAAAGAAGAAGAAGAAGCTCACTCACTCACCTCCGTGAGAATCCACCGGTTCTCTGACTCTGTTTCATGAAAAGAGCTCTCTCCCTTTCCTTCTCAACCTTCTCCCTCTTCAACCGCTCATCTCTCAGCTCCTTCAAGCTCTTCTTCCCACTCTTCTTCTTAGCTTCATCACGAGCACCTACTCTATATCCACCATCATCATCATCCTCACCACCAACTCTATCTTTATCGCCGCGTTTGTTCTCAACGTACCAAGGAAGCTTCACTCCTTTACCAGCAACACCATATCCCAATCTATACTTCTCCTCATCTGGATCCCCTGCCCTCGCTGCAGCATCCTTAGCAGAAGCCCTCGCCGTTGCAGCCGCTTCTTTCCTCATCTTTTTTCTCCTGTGGTCTTCCTCCTCCGCAGGCTTATCGTTCTTCGGCAACTCAATCGGATCAAATATCTTGATCCCTTCGAACAGGTTTATGTGACCCGTCTTAGGCTCCTCAGGTTCAACGCTCTTCACAGCAGCAACAGAAGTGGAAGCAGCGGCCAACACCACAGCCTCGTCCTTACCCTTCTCTGCCTCAGGAGAAGCTCGTTTGAGAGGCGCCAAGCCACGGACGTTACGAAGCACCTCGAGGCGAGACTCGGCATCTCTTTTCCTGGCTTCCTCGCGCTTAATCTGCTCTTCCTTAGCCGCCGCTTCCTCGTCTTTTCGGACTTTCTCTCTGTTGTCGAAATTGTAAACGTTCCACCGCTTCTGCGGGAGAATATTCAAACCACCGTGTCCTCCCATGGCTTAGTGGCAAATCAACAAGCTCTCACTGAAATTCAAGACGGACTGCCAAAAAATTGGGGAATTCCGAAACCCTTGAAATCTCCGGAGATAAAAAAAAAAAGATCAAAGAAAACAGAAGATCTCGCGAACTAAATTAGGGTTTCGTCTGATCTTCGAAACGATGAATCTGAATAATTGAAGAGATGGATGAAAATCGAATTAAGAATCGAAAAGGAAAATTTGAGAGAAATTGGATTTTGCTAGTTGCGCCTTTGAATTTTGGAGTAAAATTGTGGGAATCCCAATTGTTGATGGTTATTAACTTTGAGGCCCATTAACTATAAGGCCCATTCGGCCCTTGCTCAAGTAATCAGAAGTTTTACCAACTAAAAGTTACTAGGTGGGTTGGTCCACACATATGTGCAGATATAATTTTTTTAATATACATAGTTAATTGTAATATTTAAATATTAATTAATTTTTTAAAACATTAATATGTTTGTATATATATATTGTTTTAATATTTTAGAAACTTCTTTCTGAAACCAATGTATTTTAAAACTTTTTATTTTTATAATGCTTGTAATAATATATAATCACAAATATAAAAGTTATGTTAAATAATAATTAAATTCTTATAATATTTTTTAAATATTTCTATAATATGCTTTATTTTTCCTTACACAATCTATAATATGTTTTTTGCGTCTTACATAATATGAATTTACAAATACATATATAATATATTTTAAGTATATATTTTTCTTGATTTATTGCAATTTAAACTGAAATAGTTTTTACCATTTTTACTTATTTATAAAATTTTATTTTATTTAAAATATGATAAGACATAAGATGAGGTAACATAAGTTATGTACATTTTGAAAACAATAATAAAAAGACGATAAAATTTATAGAAAAATATACGGTCCTATTGATATTATAAAATAATAATTATTATATACTTTATTTATTTAGTAAATATTAGTTTGAAATTAAAAATTATTTAAAATTACGTTTTTTAAATTTTTTTTAATAAAAGTTAATTATTTTTTATTATTTTTAACATTTTATTCTTTAAATTATTTTTATCATGATTGTATTTTATTTAAAATTGTATTATTTAATAATTTGTTTATTTAAAACTTCTTTGTATGTTATTAATATATTTTGTAAATTAATAACTTTCCAAAATAAAAATATATCATACTTAATGTATTATTAATAAATAGAATTTTTACTATTCTATTGGATAATTTAATATTATTTTTATATTTTTATATAAAATTATAATATATATATATATTGTTGGAAAAAATTCGTAATTATATTTTATGAAATTATGAATATATGTAAAAATTAAAATTATAATAGCTTTTATTTTCTGTTAATTTAAATTTGTTAATCTTAGAATTATAAATATAATTTAATTTATTTATGTTTTAATTCCATAATTTCTATAATTTTAATTTAACCAATCAAAACATTTCATTTATTTTAGGAAGTTTGACATGTCACATTTACATGTCATCAATTAAAAGCACTAACTTTGGTTGTAGTGTTTACAAGTCAGCTATTTTCAATAATGTTACTTCTCAAATAATATGTAGTGGATGTGCTCTAAGTAAACTACTGTATAAGCAAAACATACACAAATGAAATGAAAGATAGAGATGTTTTCAGAACAAGCGATACAGTTATTAGTTATTACATCTGACTTCTTCCTCCAAGTCGTGTTTAGCCAGTGATCAAGTGAATTAGTGAAAAAATAAGAAGATGAGAATGCAATCAAAAGCTCACAGTATAAGAATCTGTGAACGAGTCTAAGAAATACAGAAGACTTTCAATCATGAATGAAGAAATGTTAACGGGGTTAAGAGCTCAAGTCTGTATTTTCTCTCGAGATGCCCATACTTTATGCCTTTAAACCTTTATGTTGAATCTGAGCCTCTACAATGGCCACAATGCATTGTACCTTAGATTCAAACATTCACAGTGCAACATACCTTCAAGAGACAGTGACAGAAAATGCTCAAAGAAACCGTTGAGAAGAACCTGAAAACACTCTACACAGCTACTTCGACTAACTGAGAAGTGCAACATAAGCTGTGGATTATACTCATTTGATCTCATTGGCTATCTAGGACATTGGTTACCATTTTCTTATGGTGAAGCTACAGAAACAGAGCCTTGAGTAACGGAGGAGATGATGAAATGTAAATCATAACATTGAACCACGAAATCGACGGAAATTACCAAGAGTACATAGACAGATTCAGCACTGAATAAAGTAATTAGGAAGTCAATTAACTCCATCACCCGCACGTTTATCACAGCAAAATATATATAAAAAGTAGAACCTAAAATCCCCAATTTGCTCTCTGTATACGGAGGTCTGAATCAGTGATTACACGATCCATATTCATCAATCTTCAAACCAAACAATTAATAAAGCCTAATCAGCTACCAGAACCAAATTCTACAATAAAATCCCGATCAAAACGGGTTAAAATCTGAAAGAATATATGGTAAAAGAAAAGATCGAGATTGGCAAAACCCGATCAATTATCATCGTCCTTCTTGGGTTGGCGATAACTCTCCTCGATGTGTTTGGAGATCACGAGACCAGTGCTTGTGAGTTTCTTAATATCCGGAACGTTGTAGTTCTGCGCAACGTATACGCCATAAGCCGTTCCCATCATGAACACGAAGCAGCTCTTGATTATGCCCATCCTCTCTCTCTCTCTCTCTCTCTCTCTCTCTCTCTCTCTCTCTCTCTCCACCTTCTTCTTCTCCCGCGGAAGCTTCTCAGACTTTCAGGTCAAAATCGATGACTATTCTATTTGGGATTGCTACATAGTATAGCTTTAAATGGGCCTTCAATATTTGTAAGGCCCATAGTTATAAAGAGGTGAAAAAGCGACACGCTCAATTCCATTGCTTACCCTTCCGTTCTCTTCACCTAACCCGCAGTTGCTAGGGGTAAATATGTCATATCATATGCAGAAACGTGATCCCGGCATATGCGGTTCTACTTTATCCTTTTTGGGAGAGACAATAATAATAAGGTGCACGGTTTCATCGTACACCGTCATTAACGTGGACGGTTGTGATTTTGTTTCGAAAATAACAACTAATAAGAACCGTCCGATTCTCTTTTGTGTATATAAGCATACCACGTCAGCTGTAGAGTTACGATGTTATTGTGATCCATCTGTATACAATCTTTTGCCTTATCAGATAATTTTTAAATGCTTCGCAGAATTTTTGCAGGTTGCTTATTTTGCTTTTTCTTTCATATTCTTTGTTAATTGTGTTTATCTTCTTCAACGATATCGTTGAGCTCTCTGGAGAAGTGTTTGATCGCAGAAAAGCTTCGTCTTTATCTTCAACAGGTTTGATCATCGATTTTGACGCCCTTTTTTTCTGTTCTTATTGCGATCTCGTACTTAGTTAAGATTACTCATGGTTTGGGTTTATAAGTTGATCAATCGATCTAGGTTCGTCTATGTAGCTTTAGGAGAGCCTCTATGTCTGCGACAAAAAAGGGTTTCTGGGTTTTGTGTCCTTTTCTGGGGATTTAAAGTATTAGTCGCCGAATTCTATGTTTGACCCGTTACTGAGTCTAGTTTTGGGAGTGGATGAATTTGATTTGAGTGGTGAATTTGATTTGATGGTTATCTGATTGGCTTCACCGGTTTTCTTATTGTATCAGTAGGCGTGGAAGGAATGGCAAAAAGCACGTTCAAGCAAGAGCATGATTTAGGTTTGGATCCGGACTTTGTTCTTGATTTTGGTGCTTTTGATTCTCAAAAAAAAAAGAAAACGTTTCTTTTGATCTGATGATTATGTTTTCTGAAATTTTCAGAGAAGAGAAGGGCAGAGGCTGCTCGGATTAGAGAGAAATATCCTGATAGAATTCCGGTGAGAGCTCAGTGTCTCTTATACGTTTAGTCCATTACACATATTCAGAGTCCTATGTGATTAGCAAATAGTTTCTTCTTTTCATGTTGGGACCAGTCCTTTGTGTTTCACTGAGTTTAACTAGTTGAGTTTCATTGCCTCTTTTGTGGTGATTATGAACTTTTTTTGTAAATAGCATCTGGCTTTAAACGTACACCCAACTAACAGTTGGTTATCAAGTTGTCTGATTAGTTTAATGCTTGTGATAAAATGTTGAGCACTGTATTAACTTCTGCATGAAGTTGTTTGAACTTTAGTGCCTATAACACCATTAGGACTTGGAATTTGTTTGTTCTTATATTGTGTCGAATGTGATATTCTGAAGCTCGATTCTTATTAACTGCTCCTTTTGTGGATATAAGTGCTTTACAACTCGTATACGGTAAAAATGACACTGGAGTAAGTAAAGATTGTCACACATTTGTATTTTTGTGTGGGATCCAGGTGATTGTCGAGAAGGCTGAGAAGAGTGACATACCAACCATCGACAAGAAAAAGTAAGCATATTACTGCAATCAATATCCATCTCACTCGAACCTGACTTGTGATTGACAGCTAAGCTTTTTTTCTGGATGTTTAAATTTGCAGATACCTAGTACCTGCTGATTTGACAGTGGGGCAATTCGTGTATGTCATTCGCAAAAGAATCAAGCTTAGTGCAGAAAAGGCCATCTTTATTTTTGTGGACAATGTTCTTCCTCCAACAGGTAAAAACAGTTTGAAGATCTAAAGCATATTTCAAGACTTTGATCTTTAAAACAAAGCCACAACAGCCTCAAGAAGTTTTAGATTAATGGGTGCTTTTGATAACTTTGCAGGTGCGCTTATGTCTGCTGTGTACGAAGAGAAGAAGGATGATGATGGGTTCCTCTACGTCACTTACAGCGGAGAAAACACATTTGGAATTGGATCTCCATAGATCTCTTCACTACTTATCTATTTCGCCGAATATTTCATCTTCTTTTTTATTATTTAAGCAATCAATCAAGCCAATGAACTTCTCTAAGAACTTTCGGTTGGGCTTTAATATGTACAGAAAACATAAAATAATGTATATAAATGATGCTTTTTTTTTCAAATAATCTGGAAACCTACTTTTCAGTGAATCATCACAACTTGATTGTGTTTTTTCTATGTCTCACTCTATAAGCCGACATCACATGGTGTCGTGATCGTGAAGGCATATGGGTCACGGTAGTTACAATTTACGAAGGCAAGGTGTATATAACTAAATAGAACAGCAGCACCAGGGCTTGTGCCACGTGGCAGACAAGAGTCGGTACCGGTTAAGAATGGCCGGTGACGTGAGAACGGTCCCACATTGTCGTTGACGGAGGGAGAGGTGGAGACGGTCGGACCATGCTTGGTGGTGCCTTTTTTTCTAATTTTTCACTTTCGATATTGACTTTGTTTCGTCGTTTTTGTTTGTCAAAAAAAAGTTTTAGCTCGATATATAATTTACGATGATCCTCGAAAGATTCTCATTCAAGGTCCCCGACCAGTCACGTGGAACATGAGAGACGCGGTCTTGAAATTAGTTACTTTGACCAGTGAAGTCAGAACTGAATGTAACTAATTTGTCTTGTCCCAAAGACATATCTTATTAACTGAATAGATGTGGATGTTAACGTAGCATGTCTAATATAATATAGTGTCATGATAAGAAGGTGATCGTCATCGACTAGGACTTAGAGGAGAGTGATGTCAAACTATTGTGTTACAAGCTACATATCTGAATTAAGTGGCGTTGAAATTGTAATAGTTGGATACAATAATGAAGGGTTACTACAACTTACAAGGGGGAAGAATAACGTTAATGAGAATGAGAAAGAAGGAAAATGAGAAAATGCATGAGATGACCCCACGAAGAACTTCAAGTAGACAAAAGGTTTGGCCGATCAAGACACCCACTATACATACGATAGATACGTATGTTAATACAGAAATGAATTGAGAAAAATATATTTGAAAAAAATGGACAAGAGAAGAAGAGAGGAACAAGAGCATGTTATGATAATGAAGGACCCCCCACCTGCATTCAATGCTTGTCTTACTCTCTTTACTCTCTTCTGCCTACAAATACTCTTTTCCATTTCTCTTCTCTTACACTTAAAACACATATTCAAACTATATTTGTCCTGCTCTCATCTCCCTACATAGAGACAGTATAATTTTAAGTATCATCATTATCAGAAGAGAGGCCATGTCTTGCTCTGTGAGGAGTGGATTCACGATGGTGTTCTGTTTCATTCTTCTCCTTTTGTCATCCAATGTTGGATGCACCAGTGCTCGTCGTCTAGGGTCTCATAAGCATCATCATCATCACAAGGCTGCTGCTTCTTTGATGCAAAACGTCGTCAATGGTGAAGGAAGGAGGAGGGTGCTGGGTGGAGTCGAGACAGGGGAAGAAGTAGTTGTCATGGACTATCCTCAGCCTCATCGTAAGCCTCCCATCCACAACGAGAAGGCTTAATTACTCAAGATCCCCTACATTTTCTTGATATCCATCATACTGTTTGTTACACGCATATGCATTCACCATGTTGGTGGTTGTAATGACTCTTGTGCTGTTATATATACATCTATATTTTCATGACCAACTTCTTTTTGTTATAATCACTCTAGAGCTCTTCACCGTCAACTTAGCTTCAAGTAAGAACATAATCGATATAGCATCATCATTACAAAAAATACCAGTGTTTCTAAAAGGTCGTTGCAGCTCAAATCTTAAGCTAAGATTAACATTTGATAAAATAGCATAAGAAACAAAAAAAGTGTTATAAATCTTCCAGCTTTCAGCTGCAAGGAACGATGAATGGTTTCACAATATCAAGGAACTCAGATGTCCTGACGCCGAGCTTCAGATCGATCTCCCCACCGCCTAACCAGAAGAAGTCCGGTCTAAGTTTGGTTATGGCCTCATCCAATATCACCTGACATTTCCCAAAGCAAGACTAGTCTTAATATGCCTCGGAAACTCTTAACTCTATGAATACTTCCAAGTAACACATGTCACTCTGATCATGAGAACACAAGCAACATAACAAATTACCCAAAAGGGAAAAACCCGTTAAAAATGAGACTCTAAAGATAATTTTTGAAAGACTGGTGTGTCGCAGTAGCACAAATAGTGTGTTGTCTGTAGTGGGTCACTTCCACATAAGGAAATGAGGATAACATGATCTACACTTCAATGCAGTAGGGTACTTACGAGCCTAAGATTATTTATACATACACACTCACCAAAAATAAGGCCATTTAAGTCTCTCTGCCTGACGCCCATTATTAACTTTGGTATTTGTTAGTTCAAAGAAAGTATTGAACTGTAAAAAAAAGGAGGTTCCAATTTTTCACTATCAACGGGGAAAAATACTAAAGACAATGTGTGGGACAAACAGTAGCTGGCTCACAAGAAAACTCTTAACTTTGGGTCCGTATCAAATGCAAGTTGTGTTCAAATGTACAGATCTAAGAGAAACAACTATGACAACAACAAAAAAAAAACTAGCATTGTGACCTTTCGGGCCTCAGTGACAATTAGGACAGGACAAAAGACTGTAATGTCTGGAAAACGCTTGTCAAGCACATGTGTGTGAGAGGGAAAACTCTCTGTAACTATTTATGAACACCAAAAAACAGCACAAAACTGTTTGTCTAGGAGAAGAGAACACAAGTGGGTAGAGGTTCTTCTCATGATATACTCCCCATGTCTTAAGCATGTCTAATATGTAATTAAATAGTGCAAAAGACTGTTGTATCAGCAATGAGCAAGCAGTAAGAGATGGATCACAATAATGCAGGATGCAGAAAAGCCGGTTAAGCTTCAAACAAAGATATTGAATTCTATCGCGGAAATAACAGTGTGGGAAGCAAAACTTACCGGTATGTTTGTCTTCATACCTATACAGGTTACCGCATTGCGTTCAAACCCGGTCAATATATTTGACGTCTCCTCAGGAGCAAGCCTCACTACACAAGAGTCATTAGAGAAAGCCTCAAAATACAAACTTCAACATGTTAACAGATAGCTCGTGATCATATAAACAAGAAGCACTGACGATTAAATCTTTTCTTTGGGATCTTGCCCTCGTTTAGTGAATAGAGAAAGTTCTTCACTGCATCAGCGTTTAATCTGGCAGAGTACTGCCATAAGAGAAAAAAAAACTGTAGCGTTCAGATGAATACGGTTAAAACGAAATACAGGTGAAAAATGTTATCACAGAGGAACCATCAGGAGTACCTGAACAACAACGACATAGTATTTTGAGTTGTTGCGATCACTGCAGTCCAAAATATTTGATGAAGCTTGGGTATTAACCTGCATCAAGCAAATGTTTTTCTTTATCTTTTCATTGTTACATGTATGTATGCTAAACCACTGGAACAGAGATTATACTGATCCTTGATTCTTCAATGTGTGGAGTTTCATATATCAAATACTATTCAAGTAATGGAGAGGATCGTAACATTGTTCGGTGACTTATAAAAAAGATACGAAACTCTCTACTTGAAATCCGAAGATACAGAGTGGAAGTACCAGAACGATGCTCTTGCATAGATGGTCGACGGAGGAAGCGCCGAGAACGTCGCGGCGGGATTCGAGAGACCAGTCGTAGTAATCGGAAGCAACTCTCTTGAAGCAGAAATCTTTAACGCCGCCGGACCGGAGAATGGCGGAGAGGCGAGACACCGTTTCGCTTTCATCATCCGGTAGAGAAGGCGACGAAGCCGAGGAGCTCTTTGGGAGGAAAGAGCTCTCGAGGATAGAGATTCTACGGAGAATTTCGATTTGGAGTCTCTCAAGCTCCGCCGCTGCAGCCTCCTCCATGCCTACTCCCTCTTTGATTCTCCGATTTACCGTTCCTCTCCGCCGCAAACGACTGTCTTGTATGTTGATTACGTGGACGCCTGTGGTCGTGTCTACGGTAAATAAGAAAGGACTCGGGTGATCTGAGCCGTTGATTTAACTGGTGTCTTTAGATTGCTCGGGAGATTAATGATTGAATGATTGATGATGAAAAACGACTTTAATTTAATGTAAACATTTCTACATTAAAAATTATGAATGATGTCACCCACATTTTTTTATGTGACGCTTGATCAGAAGTGATTTACCATTCAGTTGGACTTGTGTAGCTTAAGCTTTGTATTACTTATGAGAAGACTAGCATAAAAGGTAATTGGTCCTTGTAAAGTTCTTAACAAATAGGTATATCTTAGTGTTTTGCAAGTTTTTTTTGTTATTATTGATTTACTACTCTGTTGGATTTGTGTAGCTTAAGCTTTGTTTTTTTTTCTTATTAATCTTTCTCTGATTTTAAGTTGGATAAAGAATGTGTGGGGAGAGAGCACATGGGAAAATACATTTGTCTAGTGCAGAACAATATACTGTCTATGTCTTCATGAAGGGTGCAAAAAGCTCTAATTGCATGAGTACTAAATTCATCCCGCGCTAACTTTTGGTTGCATGAGCAGCCAACAACACTCTCCTCCAAATGACTATCGGATTTATTCCGCAAAAGTCAACAATGTTCTCAGGTGAGATTTTAATTTTGTTGGATTTTTCTCCAGTTTTGGGAACAAGGAAAGTCATAGCACTTGTGGCAATAGATGAATTCATCGATAAATAGATGGTACCACTTCAAAACTACATCCAAGGGGTGAGTGTTTCTTTTTTCTTAATTTTATCATATTAGTTTGGTAAGGAGGATAATATGCATAACCTACAAGCTGCCATAACCTGACTTTGGCATAATCAACAACGATTTTCCTAATCATGCTCTTTTTGCAAAAGGTGTTGCTGTGGAAATTTAGAATGTAGTAAGAGCTATAGCAGTAGAGTCAATGAGTGTTGTTCGTGATTGGATTCCAATACTTCGAAACTACATCAACAAGGTGAGAATTCTTATTGCTAACCATATCATCATTTATAATTTGAATAACTTAATCTGATGAGTTAATTGGATTTTTGCTATATTCATTTTGTAAGGATAATAATATGCATAATCTTAAAACCTCGGCCATGTTTAAGTATTACTAGCATTGTTAGAGATTTACATTTTGGTGTTCGAAAGTTGTGCAAAAAACTTTTTTTGGGGGGGGGGGGAGAGTTTAATGTTCAATTATACTATATTCCTTTCATTTTTTTCAGTTGTCACTCTACATTTATTTTTTTTGTTTCAAATTAGTTGTTAGAATCTATCTCTAATTTTATTAATTGGTTAACATCTATAACCCTTATCTCCAAAAAAGACAACCCAAAAATGTCAGCAAAGATCTCGAGGTATGTGATGTGATTCCTACTTTTCCATTTGTTAGATTTATCTCTGAAAAGGATCTAGCAAGTTTACAGCAGAAAAAAATCCTGGATATGGCAATTCAGCTGGAAACTGTATACGAATTTGTAGAGAACACAGTCACCGTGGAATACTCGGTAGAGTTATAAATCTCATGGAAACCATTTCCCTATTTGCATAAGTGATTGTCCACCCACCTACTGTTGCTCCTCTCGAGGTGGTGGATGACAACATGGACAAGGATGAGGCAGAATCGAGTATCACATAATATTAGTCTTATTGGTGATTTATGGCAGTATTTCTATCTCTTCAGACTTATGTTACTAAAGAAAATGATGAGAAATTAGTAGACATAACTACATATGTTATTTAAGACCATTACTTTAATAGTAGATTCGATTTCTAAATTATTTGTTATTAAATGTCAAATATGTATATTAACTTTAGTGCTAAACTTAAAATACAGTTTTAGAAAAATAAAACAACTTTCAAGAATATGCATTTTCAATTTTGGAAATTTTAATTGTAAAAGAAGAACAGTTTTAGAAGTTTAGGAATCCAGCAAAGTTAATTAAGAGAGAATGGATGCGACTAGAGCTTGCAAGATGATTGCAAATAACTAAGCTTCAATGGCAGTGATGGATGAAGAACCATAAATTTTAATTTGGAAAATTTTCAGTCTCTTTGAAGATGAAAATTTTCGATGGTTTACAGAAAAAAACATGATGTTTTCTATTCATACAAAATCCTATCTTTAGTTGAAGGATTTTATTACTAAAATCCCTAAAAACAATTATAATAAAATGTAGTCTATTTTTAAAAAATTTGTAAGGCATCCATTTTTCTCTATAAATTGTGGTCTTATGCAATTTTTTAAAACTTAGGAATTAGGATCGGCTCTGGGTGTCTCTCCTCAAAGCTAAGAGAATTGTATTCTAAAAATTAAAAACACAAAGAAATATATTTTACCTAACTATTATTGAAGATAGAAAACCGTTAAGTGAATTGGTCTTGTGGAGATGCCCACGTTACCTTCTTCTCCAAGTTATATAATGCTTAAGTCCTTATACAAACTAGGTATATAATTTGCGTTACGCACGAATCTGTATTAATATTTTGGTTTATTTTTTTTTACTATCTTTAAAATTATTAAAAATTATATATATTTATAAAAAAATTTATGTATATGAGAGAATTTAATATATAATGTGTAATTTATCATATTTTTACTTATAAATTTTTAAAAAACTATTAGGTAAAATAATAACAACGACGCCTATCGAATTATCCAACTTTGACGTAAATATACATTTGATATAGAAAAATATAATCTTGCTAAGATTTTGGTATTATTTTCTGTTTTCCATATAATTTCTATAGTTCTTTTTTTCTTGAAGGTTTATATGTTCAAATATTTAATTTTTTATTGAAAGTCTTATTGATGTTGTGTACCACTGTATATATAATCTATGATTCATGTTGATTCACATTTAATATTGTTAGGAAGCTGTAATGATCATGCAAAACCATTTTTTCCTTCTCCATCATGTCTTCCAAGAGTTTTATGTTATATTTTTATTTAGTTTTTATTATTTTAATTGTTAAATCGAGTTGCTATAGATTTTTAAAAATTGATAATTGATAATGGTTATTTTTTTATACATGTATTGTTAATTGTTAATTTTTTATTTAAATTTTAAAATTTTAAACCATATTAACATTTTCTGATTTAATAAATATGTTTATTTGGATCAATCAGATTGAATTTACCTTTTAAGTTAGACATAATTTGTTAAATTAAATTTTAATGTTTTAATTATACTTAGTAATTTTTGGTTTGATTTAAAAGCTGATGTGGACCAATTAAATCAAGTTTTTTCGTCTAATTATACTTACCATTTTTTTGTTTAATGAATATGCTGATGTGGACCAATCAGATCGAGTTTTTTAATCACATGTGGACGCCCTCAATGCATTATGCCATCAACTTTTATATATTATACTAGGTATATAACTCGCGCTACGCACGAGTCTGTATTAATATTTTGGTTTAAAAATTATATATATTTATAGAGATTTTCATTTATATAAGAGAATTTAATATATAATGTGTAATTTATCCTAATTTTATTTATAAATTTAAAAAACAATTAGGTAAAATAATAACAATGATACCTATCGAATTATCCAACTTTGACGTACATATACATTTGATTTAGAGAAATATAATCTTGCTAAGATTTTGATATTATTTTCTGTTTTCCATAGAATTTTTATAGTTCTTTTTTTTAAAGGTTTATGTGCTCAAATATTTAGTTTTTTTTATTGAAAGTCTTATTGATGTTGTGTACCACTGTATATATAATCCATGATTCATGTTGATTCGCATTTAATTTTGTTAGAAAGCTGTAATGCTCATGCAAAACTATTTTTTCCTTCTCTATCATGTTTTTCAAGAGTTTTATGTTATATTTTTATTCAGTTTTTCGTTGTTTTAGTTGTTGAATCGAGTTGTTGTAGATTTTTTTAAATTGATAATTGATAATTGTTACTTTTTTATACATGTATTGTTAATTGTTAAATTTTTTATTTAACTTTTAAAATTTTAAACCATATTAAAATTTTCTGATTTAATAAATATGTTGATTTGGATCAATCAGATTGATTTTTTTTTATTGGACATAATTTGTTAAATTAACTTTTAATATTTTAATTATACTTAATAATTTTTTTTTTTAATTTAAAAGCTGATGTGGACCAATTAAATCAAGTTTTCCATCCTAATCATACTTAACATTTTTTTATTTAATGAATATGCTGATGTGGACTAATCAGATCGAGTTTTTTAATCTCATGTGGACGCCCTCAATGCACTATGCCTTCAACTTTTATATATTACTAGGTGGTCTGTCCGCCATAGCGCGGACAAATACTTTTTTGGCAAATTTTTTTGGTACACATTGTTTTTCTTCATTTTTTTTATGTTGGTGGTTAATATATATATATATATATATATATATATATTACAAAAAGAGTTCAATTTTATAATAGTAAGAGTGTGCTCACTACCGCAAACAATCTATTTAGCTAACAATTCGCATTGGATGTAAAGAAAAATAAACTTTAGGGCGAGAAAACAATTGTACCTTTATTCACTCAAACCAAAATGTCCAAAAGAATATAATAAATTTGAGTTGTAAGAAATTAATTTCTTTTTCGAATAATGAAAACTCATCTAAACATAAGTGGTATTGCATCTCTTGTCCAGCTATATCTATTTAAAAATTAAAAAAAATATTAACATCTTTAAGATGATGAATCATATTTTAATTAAAAATTAATGTGAATGAAATTAGCTTTATGAGACAAATGTGCCTTTTAGCAATGTACATATCTAAGAAAAAGATCGGTAAAAGTGTTTCTAACAAAAAGTTTTTAAAAGTATGAATTAATTTAGTTGTAGCAGTAAGCATCTCTCTCTGCGTCTGTATGACTTAATTGTTAGTGTACACAGTCATGGTCCAAACTTGCC